GTGGTGACTTCATGGCAGGAATGCTGTTCAGAACAGGAAACTGGGCGGCACCCAGAATGCCTCTCCAAGACTTTGGCACGGGCCTTTGTTTGCACTGCTAAAGAAGGAGCGGTTTTTGTGCTTTTGTGTTTCTGAATGGCGCAACAGCTCCCACCAACCTCTTGGCAAACCCACACCCGTGAAGCATTCCAGGCATGCCGGCAGCCTCAGGCTTTTGAGAATGGGGTGAGAAAGGCAGCGCAGGGACATGTCCAGGCCATACGCCCCCTCCCCCCCAGCAGACCAGGGTTGGGGAAGCTGTGATTCTCCAGGTGTGGTTGGACTCCAACTCCCATCAGCCCCAGACACCATGGCCAATAATCAGGGATGAAGGGAGTTGTAGTCCAGCAACAGCTGGGGGCCACAGGACTTTCACCTCCCCTCTAGACCATCACCCCATTTTTCAGCATGAATCCCCATTCCCTAGGATTCAACAGGGAGAGAATAGGACATAAAATATTCTGAAGCCACCAAATTCTCTTGCCACAGATGGCAGGATCAGCTCCAGATCTTTGAACTCGTGAGGAATATCCCTTGGACATTCCATTCCTGAAACAGCAACAAAAGGGGAAAAGAGCAATAAGAGAATGGTCACCACCACATTCTGCTCTATGCCCTTGCTCTTCTGGCCTTAGTAGCTATATACTGAGTCAGACTATTAGCCCATCAAGCCAAGTATTGTCTACACTGACTGGCAGTGGCTGTCCAGAATTTCAGCCAGATTTGGGAGGTGCCAGGGATCAAACCTGGGGTCTGCTGTTGCACTTTTCTTCCTAGGAATCCCTTCAGAAACTGGTATTGCTCTCTCCCTGGGAACTAGGGGGGGGGACTTGGGACTACTGGTTGGCTGTGTCCACAGAATGGAAGATGGCAGGATCCCCAAGGACGTGCTCTACAGGGAGCTGGCTTCAGGCACCAAGCCAGTTGGCAGACCAACTCTGCGTGACAAAGATGGCTGCAAACGTGACATGAAGGTTGGCAACATCAACCCCGCCATGTGGGAATCCCTTGCAGATGACCACAGTGCCTGGAGAGAGACAGACAGGTAACCAGGGGACGAATGGCTGCTGGGAGGAGTGCAGAGGGAAGAAACATCTGCAGCAGCACAACTGGACACCTTCATCTGCTCCAGCTGCAACAAAATATGTCCCTCCTGCATTGGTCTCCACAGCCGCAGCAGATGCTGCAACTTTCCAACAGTCTGACTTCATCCCCAAAAGTGCACTCCTCAAATGTCTCTCCCAAGACAGACGAATGGCAACAACAGTAAGTACTGCTGGACTACAACTCTCATTCTCCCTGACGATTGGGCATGCTGACTGCGTAAGATGGGGACTGGAGTTTAATGACATCTGGAGGGCCACATGCTAGTCATCCCTGCAATGAACAGAACCTCTGGAATCATAGAATCATAGAGTTGGAAGAGACCACAAGTCCAACCCCCTGCCAAGCAGGAAACACCATCAGAGCACTCCTGACATATGGTTGTCAAGCCTCTGCTTAAAGACCTCCAAAGAAGGAGACTCCACCACACTCCTTGGCAGCAAATTCCACTGTCAAACAGCTCTTACTGTCAGGAAGTTCTTCCTAATGTTTAGGTGGAATCTTCTTTCTTGTAGTTTGGATCCATTGCTCCGTGTCCGCTTCTCTGGAGCAGCAGAAAACAACCTTTCTCCCTCCTCTATGTGACATCCTTTTATATATTTGAACATGGCTATCATATCACCCCTTAACCTCCTCTTCTCCAGGCTAAACATGCCCAGCTCCCTTAGCCGTTCCTCATAAGGCATCGTTTCCAGGCCTTTGACCATTTTGGTTGCCCTCCTCTGGACACGTTCCAGTTTGTCAGTGTCCTTCTTGAACTGTGGTGCCCAGAACTGGACACAGTACTCCAGGTGAGGTCTGACCAGAGCAGAATACAGTGGCACTATTACTTCCCTTGATCTAGATGCTATACTCCTATTGATGCAGCCCAGAATTGCATTGGCTTTTTTAGCTGCCGTGTCACACTGTTGGCTCATGTCAAGTTTGTGGTCAACCAAGACTCCTAGATCCTTTTCACATGTACTGCTCTCAAGCCAGGTGTCCCCCATCTTGTATTTGTGCCTTTCATTTTTTTTGCCCAAGTGCAATACTTTACATTTCTCCCTGTTAAAGTTCATCTTGTTTGTTTTGGCCCAGTTCTCTAATCTGTCAAGGTCGTTTTGAAGTGTGATCCTGTCCTCTGGGGTGTTAGCCACCCCTCCCAGTTTGGTGTCATCTGCAAATTTGATCAGGATGCCCTTGAGTCCATCATCCAAGTCGTTGATAAAGATGTTGAATAAGACCGGGCCCAAGACAGAACCCTGTGGCACCCCACTAGTCACTCTTCTCCAGGATGAAGAGGAACCATTGATGAGCACCCTTTGGGTTCGGTCAGTCAGCCAGTTACAAATCCACTGAGTGGTAGCATAGTCAAGTCCGCATTTTACCAAGACAAGCAGGAGACAAGCAGGCAAATGGGGAGAGGAGGTCTCCAGCAGGAAACCAGTTCCAGACTCCCCTCTGGCTCCAGGCCTCACATCACTTTTCCTCATAATAGAAGTGAGCACCTTTAAGCACATAGATTTAAAAGCATGTTTGTTGTAATGTTGGTCCTGAGCATGTGCTGGCAAGTGTCATGTTCCAAGTGGAAGATGCAGCCTCAAGGCTCACCCTGGCCATTCCTAGAGTGCTCTAGTGGATAGATAATGGAGAGCTATCTTCAAACTTTAATGCAACCATGGATTTGCCACAATTATATGAGGTGTAGCATAACATTGCCCTGTGGAAGAGCTTTCAGGAAATGGGACAAGCTGACCAGGGAAGGCTGTAGATCCCTGCCACAGGAGGATTTTGAGCTCCTGCACATGAAAGTATGAGAATGGCTACTGCACAGTGACAGCTTTCCTTACATTGGTAACCACAGGAGATGGCAGGTCTTGTATCCCCATCACAAGCCTGAGATAAAATGGCTAATCTGGTCATCTTTCATTCTGTCACACCATGCAGAAGGGAGCAGGGCCACCATATGGCGGGAAAGCAAGCAACAAGCCAGCAGCAAGAGGCTGACTGGTGTTTGACTCCCTCTTTGGGAAGATCTAGATTTGACCTTGAAGGAGAAAAGCTTTGTGATAAGGAGGCTGAACAGCAAAGAAGGGGAAGCGGCAGAGTTGAAGCTCAGCATTTTGGGTTGAGCTGAGAGTGAGTTAGTGCCCGCCCGCCTGCCTCTTAGGGAGACGGCGGACTGGGGTATAAATGACTAGAAAGAGGAAATAACTTTTTATAATAGCTGACTCTTGATTTTTTCTTTTTCTTTTTACTATTCATGTCACTTACTAATATGTTAAAAGAACAGAACTTGAAGAACACCCAGGCCTATTTTGTTCAGGTATGCTCTTTACAGAGCATATTCTTACATTAGTGAGGTTTCTATAGCTTTTGGGAATCTGAGTCCTTTGCTTTATTATAAGATCCTCTCAAGTTCTAGCATAAAGGTTTTTCTACCCCCATAGGCGGTCTAAGCTCTGCCTTCCCATGTGTCTATACCGAGACCACATGGCCTGGGCACAAATACGTAACAAGTGAGCCCACATATGAGAAAGGAGATTGCAATAGCACACAACACAGGAAGGATCTGAACTTATTTGAACCCCCAGTGCAGTCTGAACACGCCATGAACTGTTAACCAGGCTGAACAGCCCAGCATCTTGCAGACAAAACACACAGGCAGAGAGAGAAGTGGGGTGGAATGGGTGGTCCTACTCTAAACAGGTTACAAGGAGACAGCTTCAACTGGCCCTTGTTGTGTCTGCTTCTCTTCAAAACATCTCTAAGCAGATACTAAAGTGCTTAACATTTGCTTATGTACAAGTACCACCTCCTGCATACTCTTTATCCAAGGCACTGCTAGCCAGAAACTAGAGATCTCTAAGTGACTGCGGGGCAGAGGCGGAACTACCTTTGGTTCACTACCCTAGTGGTTGGCTGACTACCTGCACCACATTTAAGAAGGTGGTACTGCCAGCTGTTGGAAGAATGTCCAGTGGCTGTTGGAATCGGAACATGGAATTAGATGGATCCTTTGTATGATTCAGCAAGGCAACACTTAGGGTGTTAGGATCATACAGAAAAACCCTTAGGGTATGTACACATATTTCATTTACATGTTTTGTTTTTGAGGCTGATATAGCTCCCCTGCTATGGCACACTGTCTGCAGGATGCAAGTTGCCATACCTAATACTATTACACTTTTCGCTTGCTAGTGATCAAAAGGGAGATTGGTTGCATGGTCTTTGCTTGTTGAGCGCAAGAATGTGCCAGGTAATCTGTAGTCAATCCGGATTTTGTTGTGCCTCTATGTTGCCAGTCACTTAACAGCAATTCCTTTAGCTAGTGACAATAAGCTAAGACTGCAGTCTTCAGTGGCATAGTGCTCAAGTTGCACACTCCCTGCCCATAAATAGCTGGGAGAACTATTAAAATGCCACCTCCCGCAGCCTCTATCCACTGTATAGGGCATTTCATATGATGAGGGACTCCCCATAGGCTGCCCTTTCCCCCTCCCGAAATACAGTGGAACCTCGGATTACGTATCGTCCTCCTTACGAATGCTTCGGGTAATGAGCTCCGCTAACCTGGAAGTAGATGCTCCTGGTAGCAAACTTTGCCCTGGGATGTGAGCGGAAGTGGTGCGCTGGCGGCACAGCAGAACCAGGAGGCCCCATTAGCGAAAGCGCGCCTCAGGTTAAGAATGGTTTCAGGTGAAGAATGGACCTCCGGAACGAATTAAGTTTGTAAGCAGAGGCACCACTGTAAGAGACTCTTGTCCTGTGTGCAACTGCTGAGGGGAGGGTGACATGCTGTTATAAAACCTTAAAATGGAGCTGCAGAGTGAAAAGAGGCTCCTTTCTCCAATCCTCATCACGCCGGCACAAGCAAGTACATTATACATACAACATATATATTATATTTCATATAGAGATCTGGCTGATTATTTTATAGAAGCTTTACAGAGAGTCAGTATTCAAAGCTGCGTCCATGCCACCCCAGTACCTAGTGCTTCAGTGACACCCCTAATCTTTCCTCTTCCATCTCTACATTGACACAGGAAAGTAGGCAGCTGTGGCGAGAAAGAGGCGCTAGAGACCCAGAAGGGAATAGCATGGCTTAGTTACCCTGCAAGCAGCAAGAGCCACTTGGGTTTGGCTTCCACTACCCATGGGACAGGAGTGGGCAGGGGCAGCACCACTGCGTTCCATGGGGTGCCCCAAACAGACCCTCTGCAGGCACAGCTTGGCAGAGAGGAAATTTCGGCTATTCCTGCAAATCATCCCTCCAGAAGATGCTTAGTGCCCAACGTGACCAAGCTTGTGCTATGAAGACATTTGCCCTTCTAAGAAATAGGCCGGAAGCTGAAAATGCCATTTCCCTAGAGGGGCTCCCTGCCTGTTCCCTAGATCCCTGAGCCCTTCTGGCTTCCTCTTCCCTATATGTCTCAGCAGGCAGAATCCTGACTGGCTGGGATTGTGCATGAAGCGAAAGGTCTGATAGGCAATCGAAATAGACCCAGGGACGCCTCTGGAAGTCACACGGAGTAGATGTTGGGAAGAAGGCTCCAGGGTGGTGGAAACACCAGCTTCCTTCTTGCTCGTTCTCCTGCATGCCAATGGGCAGTTTAGGACTGGGAGTAGACGGCTGTGACCGGGCTGCCCCCTGCTGCCCCCTGGTAGCGCTGGCGGGCATGCTTCTCGCAGTACATCTCTTCGCCAACCCAGAAGTGGCCCCGCATCTTCAGGTTGAGGCCGCAGTCGGTGCAGATGTAGCAGGAGGGGTGGCGGTAGCGGTTCTCTTGGATTCTCACTGCCTGGGTCCTGCAGGAGACACAGCCGAGGGCGCAGTCAGTGAAACATGACTCAGAGGGGAGTACAGCTATGACTGGCACCTGATGCAAACTCTGGAATCTGGTGCCCCGTTAAAATTTAATGTTAGCATGTTTAGAGCAAAGTTTCTAGCCCTCAGGATTGTGGAGAAAGTATTGAGAGCATGGGGCAGTGCCAGGAGCATGGGTTGTGTCCAACTACATCCTACTCAAAGTAGGTGCATCAAAATTAATGGATCTAAGCTAGGTATGTTTTAATTTCAATGGGTCTACTCTGAGTAGGGCTAGCACGGGACACAACCCAGTAGATTTAGTTAGTTACTTTTGTCATATTAGCCACAACACAATTTACATATAGACACACAAGCCACAGAGATACTTTTGCATGTGTTATTCTGTGCAAGAGTCTTCCCCAACATACACCACCAAACAAAAGATTGCCGCCTACATATCATCATTTATTATCTTGGTTCAGCCCCCTTTAAACAAATGACTAGGGCAAAATCTCTCTCAGCACTGTGTCCATTCCAGGGAGCCTCCAGCATCCTCCCCCTGCTCATGGGGGGCCCATTTGGTTATCCTGGGCAGAATCAGGCAGGTAGGGAGATATTTTGGTTCATGGAATCAGTAGAAGCTTTCCATTTCCTTGCCTTAGGTACAGGCAGTGCCACAACCGAGCTTTTTCTGTGTCTCTTTTCAACCCAACAGAACAACACTTTCCTTCTTGCTTCTACGCTGTCCCAAGATGAGAACCAAAGTTTGTTGCACCTTAAAAATGAGTTACACCTTCATTTCTCTCCAATATATAAAATTGTAAGGAGTTGGCATGCTAACACTCTTGTGTGCATGTGCAGCCAGCCGTGAGTGACAGCTCTCCCTTCCTATTGTTCTCCCCTGTAAGTGTGAAGGGAGGGAACAGGTTGGGGGGGCAGGTGTGTGAGTGAGAGGAAGCCAGCGAGCTCAGGAGAGCCTGCCATCGCAGCCGAGGGGAAGCCTGGAAAGTCTGAGGGGGTGTGATGAGGCACACATGCAGAACTTTACCTGTGAGGGAACAGCTTTGATAGGCATGTGGCTGAGTGAGAGTGAGGGACCTAAGGCAGCCCTGAGGGGAGCTAGGCAGACAGCAATGCCTTGAAGGGGCACAAGCGCACAGCTGACTCACCCATGAGGCAAGGTGAGGCAGCTGCTTCAGATGGCAGGAGACACAGCGACAGCAGATCCATCCTCCAAGGAATGCACTGCCCACTGCTGCTGCAGCAACATCTGTGACGCGCTCCTTAGAGGCCAGATCTAAACCCCCCACCCCGCGCGCAGCCCCCTCTGGGGGGAGAGCAGCCACTGGGTGAAGAGGAGGCACTGCTGGTCTGCTCCCAACCTTGTTCCCAGTGTAGATCTTTATTCTCTCCTTGTTCCTGATGTAGATCTTCCTCCACCCTTCCTCTCTGGTGGGGGAACCATTTTGTGGTTTGCCTCAGGTGCCAAAGTGGATTGAGGCAGCCCTGTGTGTGCAAAGGGGGCTGCAGAATAGAAGCTAGAGGGGGGGTGCATGAGAGAAAGATGGAGAGAAGTATTAAGTAGTCTGTACATGTGTGCATGGGTGTGAGAGAAAGGGGGTATGAATGTGTGTCTGTGAGGGAAAGACTTTTTTTATGTGTGTGTTGGGAGTACCACATCAGGTTCCTTGAGTTGGAGTGCCAACTTAGATCAAAGTTAGACCTTAGTACCAAGCCGTGTCCCATCTATGGAATGCCCTCCCCTTGGAAGTATGACTGGTGCTGACACTTTTGCCAGGTAAAGATCTACATGTTTCCCCAAACTTTTGTGGGGTGCAAGTATGTATCTGCCACTGCAATTAAGAGCCACAGGTGGTGCCATTTCAAGGAGGGTGTCATTATTGATTTTTTAATAGATGTGATATGTTTTTGCTTGCTCTTTAATTGTCTTTAGGATTTGCTTTATTATTTACCTGTATTACAACCTGCCCTGGGATTACATGATGAAGGACAAACTATAAATATCTTAACTAAGTAAATATGTAATCAAGCACCCTAACCATTTGGCCTCCTCAGCACAATGGATGGAGTGTTTGCTTTGGGTCTGGTTCAGCCACAAAAATTTATTCAGCAACATGGGACCTGCCACTCTCTCAGTCCCACCATCTCAGGTGGTTGTTTCAAGGAGAAAATGTGGGAATGTGCTGCCCTGAACTTAGAGGGACACTGGGGGATACAAATGCAATCAGTAATGAAAAGCAAAGGTAGTAGGACCCATATTTGCCCATATATTTGCATATATAATGGCATATATTTTTGTTGCTGAAAAAATTCTATGGCATTTCCACTGAAGTAAACAAAAAATTCCTAGTAGAGTGCTTTCTCTGTGGCAGAGCCTAAATTATAGAGTTTCCTCTCCACAGAGATGTGTTTTGCTTCAACACTGCATAGCTCCCACTGTATGCTGAAGACACTCCTTTTTACACTGGCCTTAGACACCCAATACATATATTTTAGGATCTACTCTATTCTTCTGATTATAATCTTCTGATTGTAAAATGATTTAACCACTTTCAGTATTGTATTTTTATATTGCTATAATCTACCCTGGGACCATACAGTGAACAACAGGTAAAAAATTCCCTCTTCATCAATGCCATAATAGTGTACACATAAGTAACCCCATGCCTTTTTGGCAATTTCCCTACTCTTCAGCCACCAAGTTCATTTCAAATGGCCACAGTGAACTTTCACAAGCTCCAAATTGCAGTTCTGGTCTTTGCCCAGAAGATGGCAATGCATAACTGGTCCCCTACTGTGGTTATAATACCATGAAAGTGTAGAGTGGCAAAGGTCTCCTCGGATTCAGCTACATTCCTCACAAGAATACGTTTTGAATGTGTTATAAACATCCAACACCAGATGGTGCCAGAGAGCAAAAAGGAGTTTATATGGATTTTTATATAGGCTTCCCCCCCTTTTGTTGTAACGATTTAATTTCTGACTTATTTATAGTGTTTTTAACCTGTGCCCGGGACGCGGGTGGCGCTGTGGGTAAAAGCCTCAGCGCCTAGGGCTTGCCGATCGAAAGGTCGGCGGTTCGAATCCCCGCGGCGGGGTGCGTTTCCGTTGCTCGGTCCCAGCGCCTGCCAACCTAGCAGTTCGAAAGCACCCCCGGGTACAAGTAGATAAATAGGGACCGCTTACTAGCGGGAAGGTAAATGGCGTTTCCGTGTGCAGCTCTGGCTTGCCAGAGCAGCGATGTCACGCTGGCCACGTGACCCGGAAGTGTCTCCGGACAGCGCTGGCCCCCGGCCTCTTGAGTGAGATGGGCGCACAACCCCAGAGTCTGGCAAGACTGGCCCGTACGGGCAGGGGTACCTTTACCTTTTTAACCTGTGTCTAGATCCACCTCCGCTCTGCTTATGGCCAACAGCCCATCTCTTATCCCTCCAGACCACCACCAGGCACCCCTTCCACAGCCGCATCCCACCCAAGGGAGAGAAACACTCACATGATGCTGCTGCCACACTTCTCACACACATGCAGCTTCTGGGCGCCGCCTGCCATGGAACTGCTGACCGGCTTCTGGGCGCTGGGAGACAGCGGGCTGGGAAAGTGAGTGACGGAGCCCCCTGCCAAAGCAACCAAGAGGGCACAACAGGATTCAGAAGCAGGCTGGCAACAGATTCCGAATAATGTGCCGCCCTGTGAGCATCTCCTCAGAGCGTTAGAGTGTTTCATGAACCTTCTTTCCAGGTAAGTGTGCATAGCATTGCAGACTTAATCTAATGAAGGAAAATTTTCATCATTCCCACAACCCCCTCAGTATTAATTGCCTTTTAAAAAGTATTAAAGCCAGATACATTGTAAACTAATAAAGCCATAGATAATCTACTAATGGTCAGAAGGAAAATGCAATATTTAATGTTTTCTTTATTTCCCTTCATAACAGCACCAAAACAGACTCTATCACAAACAATTCATTCACAGAGTAACAGATTAAAGTTTGCCATCAACAAGTTGAGGGCAGAAGGTCCCATGTTCAAGCCCAGGTCAGGCTGGGAGAAACCTCTGTTTGAGATCCTGGAAAGCCACTTCCAGTCAGTATAGATAATACTACAGCTAAGATGGACCAAGAATGTGACTCAGCATTAGGCAGGTTTCTAATTTTTAGTTGATTAACCTGCTAATTCAAAGTTGCAGAAAACTTGGGCCACCTGTCTCTTGGTCTTTGCCTTCAACTACAAAAGTATTCTCACGGACTCACACACAACCTCAGCATTTACCTGCGCCTCAGATTAAAAAAAAAGAGTTTCAAGCAAACAGTGTGGGACAAGAAGACAGACCAAACCAGAAGCATTAGGAAGTATTTCACACCACATTTTATGGTGGTGGCTGCATTTTGCCTGCTACTCCCAAGTCCAAAGAAACACAATTTTCCTGCTTTCCTTCCCAGCCACCTCGACACTCACCTTTTTCATCCAACTCCAGAGCCACTTGGAGCAAGCGGAAGGTGCTGGATTGCCGCGGCAGAGCCCTGGTTTCACGATTTTCTTGCATCATTTTGTAGACCTCCGAGTCCCCTTCCAAATGGCGCATGGCTGGCTCTGTATCTAGACTGGAGAGAGAGAGAGAGAAAAGAAATGCAGCCAGTCTGTCCTGGAAGAGGAAAATACCTCAGGCTTTTTATATCCCAGGAGGACAGGACAAACCAGTCTTCCATCACCAACATAATTCTGCCGAGCTTTCAGGAAGAGGTGGGACCAGGAGAGATCCAGGAAGAGGCACACCTGAACACTGTTTCAGAACAACAGGGGCCTCAGTAGAAGGATGCAGGATTCCAGAGGGTTTGCCGTGAGCAGGCGCAAGGAGAGAAATGGGAGCCTTTTCTTCTTCCTTCTATCCCCTTTTGCCACCTGAGGCGAAAGGGGAGGGTTCTGCCCCACCCCCACCCAGCCTGCCCTCACTTGCGGCCTTGCTTGCTGCCCTCCCAGCCACAGGAGAAGTGAGGAAAAATGGTGGTAGTGGCAGAATCACAGGATCGTAGAATGGTAGAGCTGGAAGGGACCTCAAGGGTCATCTAGTCCAACCCCTGCAATGCAGAAATGGTGAGATGGAATGTCACATGAACTCCGCAGGGTGTTGCCGGAAGCTGCCGCCGCTTCTCCTAACTTCTCTGGTTGTGGCGGGAGGGGCGGGTGGTGCCTGCAGGGGCCCCTCGAGATTCCATTGCCCGAGGCAGCTGCCTCAGCCCACCTCCTGGGTGCACTGGCCCCGGCTCCAGGTAAGCCAGGACTTCAGAAAACGGAAATGATCCCTTCACGGACTCAGAGAAGCATCCCAGCCCCTCCTCATTTCGAGTCCTGGCTGTGGAGTTGCCCTGCCAGCCCCTCTCCTAGGACCCCTTCACCACCCTGGTGCCCTCCAGATATTTTGGATCACAATTCCCATCAGCCCCAGCCAGCTCACCAAAGCAGCTCCCCTGTGAGTGAAGGTGTTCTCCTGGCCCCAAGCCCTTTGAAGTCTTCTCAGACAAGCATACCTCCAGGAAAGGGAGCAGAGAGCAACAGCAGCAGGAAATGTCCCACCCTGGGAAGGAGGCTTCACCTGCTGTTTCCAGGCAGGTATAATGACCCTCAAAGGCTAAGTGTTTCAGCAGGGACTGAATCCTGCTCCCCCCTCACCTCCAGAGAGATTTCCTTTCCTGCTTGCCTGTCTCCAGACCTGATCAGGCTCACTCTCCTGAGAGTGCAGGTGGAACACACCCTGCCTGACACACCTGCCCAGCCTCTAGACTTGTCTGCAGCGTCAAATTAACCCTCACCTGCCCAGCCTCACAGCAGGAGAACATAAAAACATAGGGAGAGACTGCTGAGTCAGGCAAGTGGTCCATCTATCTCCAGCATCCTGCTCTCTCGGTGGCCAGCGAGAGGCTTGTGGGAAGCCCCCAAGCAGGTTCTGAGCACAAGAAGCACCCTCTCCCCTCCTGGATTTCCCAGGAACCATGAAGGAACCCAACCATGAAGGCAGAGCTACTGACAGCCTTATCCTCCACAGAATTGTCTAATCCTCTTTCAAAGCCATCTAAGTTGGTGGCTGTCGCTGCCTCCTGTGGGAGCATGTGCTGCAAGAAGCACTTTCTTTTATCTATCCTGAACGTGGATGTCCACACCTTCTAGTGTTATGAGAAAGGAGACAAAAAGTTCTCTCTCCTCCTTCTGCAGGCAACGCACAACGGTATAAGCCTCTGTCATAACTCCTCCTTTCTAATGCTTTCCCTGAAGAGCAAAGTAGGCCAACACCCTGCTTCCAGGAAAACGAGAGATAAGCTGTGTATACATCACCTGCTTAAAATTCAGCAAGGTCATTCTTTTTCACTGCATTTCAAACCACATTTGCATATTATGTGTACATTGGCACAGTTTGATGTGTATGTTAATCTCCCGCTATATGTTCATACCAGTGGGCTGAGATATCTTTACCCTGTAAGCAGTTCTCAATTAAGATCAAAGCAGGTTTGGGGGGGAAACACATCAAAGTGTAGCATTTCACAGGAAAGGTCAGGACAGATGTGCCTTGTGGCCAATGTGTGTTTTCGTGGCTTCCCCAACCAGCAGTGGGAAGGGTCTGCATGCAGAGTCAACAGGAGTATATACAAAGCCATCTGCCTCTGGTCTCCACCTAAGGAAATAGCCTGGGAACAATAGTGAGGGTCTGTGGGGGTATTTGTAGAATTCGTATTCTAGGCAGAGAAAGCAGAAACCACCCTAAAGTTCTGGCTGAGTTTGCTGCTTGGTGACCCAGGGAGAGACTCTGGTTGTGTTCATACACTTGTTTACTGTGCATTCACTGCATAATGTGAACACTCCCTAGAACTGCATCAAAGTGGTTTGCCTGATTTGGGGGGGGCATTTTAGCTCCCCCCAAAGTAGGTGATGTGATTTCAGGGAGGTTTGGGACTGAAATGTCTGCCCCAATTCTCAGGTTGCCATTGCATTTTTTTCCAGATGGAGCCTGGGACATTGAGGTGGGGGGGGTGAGTTCCTGCTCAGAAAAATCCAACCGCTCACCCCACTCCTTTGGCTCACAGGGTGTTTTATGCGAGGACAACAAAGTCCTTTCTGCCCCTGTCCCAGATCCGAGAGCAATTTTATTTTGAGAACCTTTTGCAGGCTGCTTGGAGAACTTCTTGAGGCTACAGAAACAAAAGAAGCCGCAAACAAACAATAAAGCAGGACCCTTGGTCACCCTACTCTACAGTTGCTTGGTGGTGAAGACAGAGGGATGTGCATTGGCAGCGGCACTGCCCTTGAACTCTGACCTCCACCCACTCCTGTCTGCCAGCACCACAGAAGCCCATAGAAGTGAAGAACCAATGTACATAGCTGTCAACTTTTCCCTTTTCTTGCGAGGAATCCCATTCGGAATAAGGGAATTTCCCTTAAAAAAGGGAAAACGTTGACGTCTATGCGGCCTGAAAGGCAGGAATCACTCTACCTTAGTGCAAACAAGGTTTCTGTGTTTTGAGAAGTACCGGTACCTGCTCTGCTAGCTCTCCCTATATTGAACGCATGAACCCTGGCGCCTGCAAGCACTCTTAAGTGTCATTTTGGTCTGGCAGCTTCTCATACATGATTTCAGCAATTTTCGGAAATAGGTGCTTCCAGACAATCCATTTACAGTGGTACCTCGGGTTACATACGCTTCAGGTTACAGACTGCGCTAACCCAGAAATAGTACCTCGGGTTAAGAACTTTGCTTCAGGATGAGAACAGAAATCGTGCTCCGGCAGTGTGGCAGCAGCAGGAGGCCCCATTAGCTAAAGTGGTGCTTCAGGTTAAGAACAGTTTCAGGTTAAGAACGGACCTCCGGAATGAATTAAGTACTTAACCCGAGGTACCACTGTATTGAACATTCATCCTGGTTAGTTTGTAGGGAGATTAGACTTTGTTGCCTATCTAAGGAGCACTCACTCCAATTCATCTGCAGGGAGTTTAAAGCAAATGTTATCTCACACTTTTGCACTACCCTGTCACTTTCCTTATTGCAAAAGTCTGATCTATTAGGGAAATGGGTTAGTTCTGTGGATGAAATCCAAAACAGTTTTTATTTATTTATTAGGACTTATTTGTATTGGATTAGATTGTTCTAAGGTGGGTTGTACATTTGTTGTACATTTTGTTGGTTCTTCAGTTGGTAAATTGTATATAAAAAGAGGGTATACAAACTAAAAGTGGTGATGATGATGATGAACCTGAATTGGCTGCTGTGTGACTGAATCCCACCCCAAAACAGACAGTCTGAAAGCATCCTTAGCCACTAGGCAACAGCAGGTAAACTAGACAGATTACCTGTAACGGCGCTGGTAGGAAGAGGAGTTCCGGTCCTGGTCCTTCCTGATCTCCCAAGGGCTGCGGGGTGAATATGCTCCAGGGGACGGAGATCCATTTAATGGAAGCAGAACTGTAACTGGAGATCCACTAGAGCGGCTGATGCTCCTTTGCTCCTGCAGCTGCTGCAGAAAGAGATGGGGCTGGGTGTAAGTGCATTTTGTAGGAAAGGAGTGGCCCCAGGAGCCTCTCAGCCTCAGGAAGAGATTAATTGACCATCACACATTATAGGACTTGGCCCCACAAAAATAAGCAGTTGCTACACAACCCATATTGCCAAAATAAGAGGAGTATACACAACCAGGGGTGAGTGCAGCCAAACAATCCAAATTCAGCACCAGGGAAAACTGTGTAAATGACACAAATTTTATAAAATAATGGGGGGGGGGGAGAGAGAAGAACTGAGATAGAAAGACATAGACAAGAAGTTTCACCCCTAACCACAGGAATCTAATTCAGCTAACTTCCTGGTTTTGTAGGTTTTTGAGGTTGAGCATGAACACCAACCTGTCAAACATGTTTCTGGGCTAGAAACTTGCCTGTGTGGTGTACCAGTTAAGAGAGTTGGACTAGGACTGGGTAGACCCAAATTCAAATCCCCATTCAGCCACAAAACATAGTGGGTGACCTTGGGCCAGTACACACACACTCTCAGCCTAACATACTTAAAGGGAAGTTATGAAGATATAGCTGGGGTGGGAGAGAGAGCAATACATGCCCCCTTGAGCTCCTCAGAAGAAAGATGGGATATAAACGCAATGCATAAATAAAATGCTAACACAGCGGTGGGCACACAAACAAGCCGAGATTTTCTTGAAGGTTAACTGTGTACCTAATATCACAATCTGCCTCCATGGAATTGCAGCACACTCAATCCCCAACAAACTCTCACCCTCCCTCTTACACACATGTGTCGGAACAAGATCCTGAAAGTTTTTGTCCATCACCACCACTACAATTCCCCATTGTGAATCTATTCCCAAAAAACATGCTTGCAGACCAAAATACACACTGCTGGCAGCAGATTGCCCACCCAGAAGATACGTTCTACTCCTCTGCCATATAATACTGGAAGGAGGTCACAGTCAAAGGTGAGTATTAAAAACAAAAGTTAATTAATACATTGCTACCTGAACTGAAGAAAAGCTGGATTCTTTTAACTATCTGCATTTGCTTCTATTGGGATATTTTGTAAAAAAAAAAAGTTTTGCTAGACACAGGGATAGGTGAATCATGGGAATCATGCAAAGTTCAAATTGTACAGTCTCATGAGATACTTTGCACCTCCACTTTGGAGCCAAACTGATCCAGCAGATGAGACTTTGTCTTATGTCTGGGAAGCTGAGCCCCATGTCCATCTTGGCAACAGATGCCTTTCACTCTCTTGCCAAATCCCTCTCTCAGCCTCAGATCACCAGTGGAATGGGAACAACGGTGTCACACCTTGTTGTGAAGGTAGCAAACCACAAAGAATGGAGCTGCTCTGTGAAATCAGAATAGATAGAGCAGAATAGATAGAGCTGATAGAGCAGAACAGTAGGACTACAACATTCATTGTTGCAATAGTCCTCCTGTGTCCTCTCATGGCTTTTAAGGACCATCCACATGTTACTTCATCATAAGGAAACTCTACAAGCAATTTGGGAGGGTCTCCATGGCAAGATACACTTTGCAGTACAGCAGGGCAAGGAGTCATTATACTGTAAGCTTGTTCTGAGGATACAGCGGGAGAGTTGTACACAGACTTGAATGGGGCTAAAGTTAAACAGGTTAACCCTAGATTGAACTCATTTCCTGCAAGGGTGTGGGGAGGGGGCAGAAGAAGAAGTTTGCACATTCTTGTGTCCATAACTCATCCTTGAGCTAAAACAATCAATGCCTAAAGCCTTTGGGTGGACACATTCAACTGCCCAACAGAGTGATGTGTTGTCCAAAAATCCTTTCCACAACCTTCACGCCTCTCTGTTTCAGGGCATGCACCAACCACAAGGGGGAGCCCCACACCTTCAAAAGACACTTTCCAGCTGCTAATTGGGAAGAAGCAGAACAGATGAAGGGGAAGAGGGGGGCACAGAAGCGAGGGGATCAGTGGGGAAAGAGAAGGGTGGAAACCTGACTCGGGGCTCTTTGCTGCGCCCCCTTTACACCGACTGTGGCAACTAGGTGCTGAAAACATGACTGCCAGGAGGCAGCCGGGCAACACCATCCCTGCTGAGCCACAGTTCCCAGGAGCATGGTGCCCAGACTGGAAGCAGCAGCAGGGCTGAGAGGTTTTGGCCAGAGCATCAGTCAGGAGCACCAGAAAGGACCCCACGTCATTTTGCTTTCAGGGAATCTCCAGAGCTCCCAGAATGGTATGGGCATAGGCTTCTGTGCAGGTATCCCTCCCACCCACACGCCCTCCCACCCCAGGCATGCCAGCTCTAGGGGGCAGAGGTGTCTTCAGCCCCCTCAATATGTGTTTGAAGGGGGTCCACCCCCCGCAATCTTGAGGGGGCCCGGCCCAATGTTGCGGAAGACTGCACTGGTCAGGAGACTGTGTGACGTCATGTATGCACAATGCACACCAGGCCCCCGAAATACTGGGGGCACCTGGCGCCTCTGCAACACCTCAACATAAATCTCTGGCTCCCTAGAACTGAGCTCCTTCCGCCCCACCCTGGGCAATCAGAGCTTAGCATGTGCTCCTTGCTCAGCTCTGTTTTGCACCAGGCCCCATCCATCACCAGCAGACGGCCTCCAGAACGTTGCCTGTGAGGGAATGTGGCCCTCAGGCTGAAGAAGGGCCCAGGACTGCCTGCTGGGAGCCTGAAGGGCCCTGCCTCTCTCCACCTGGCTTGACAGGCTCCATAAAGGGCTGCTGCTGCTCAACAGAGAGGGCTCCTCTTTTAACATTGCTTTTATTTTTAAACTATGTCATTTTAAATTGTTATTGATTTAATGTTGTATTTTTAGTTTTAGATTTTATGATTTATGTGGAAATGTTTTCCATTTGGTTGTGTACCTTTTGATGTGTTTTATTTATTATGACTTTTGTTATGTTGGTAATTATGTAAATCTTGTCATGTTGTAAGCTGCCTTGAGCATTGTTTTAACTTTGGAAAGGCGGCATACAAATAAAATGATGATGATGGTTTGGAAGATCCCTGGTCCAATCCAACACAAGGCTGTTGACAAGAAGCACCACGGGGGTCACGAGTGGCACAGGCTGCAGGAGGTGGTGGGACAGTGGAAGACCACGGGCTTTGCGTACAGAAAGCAGGCAGCCACGTCCCGGGCGCCTCCAGTTAAAAGCATCAGGTGGTGGGAGAGGCCTCTGCTGACGACCCTGGGGAGGCCCTGCCAGTTGGAGCGCACGATACAAGGTCTCCCTGGATGGCTCAAGACAACTTCTTCTCCTATGTGGCAACACTTGAATTGCTGGGAGAGGTCTTCCAGGGATTTAGAGCACAGTATCACCAGTATGTGAACGGCAATGTTACCAAACGCTCTCTTTCCATCCCATTGCAGCGAGACTGATGAGGTTTCTGGGGCAATTCTTGAGGTTAGTCATGGACTGGTTAGGTCACACTGGGCGTAGAGCAGATCCAAAGGGTCCAATCTCTTTGCAAGCAAATCAGGATGAAAGCTCAATGAACAGGTTGTCTGTGTGCTCCCAGCCCCTAAGTGAGGCAGCAGCTGGGGCAGAACGCACTGAAGGGAAGGAAGTCTTTACCCAGCAATCCAGGGAAAGTCACCAGAGCATAGACAGGCACCATGCAGAAACACATCCCACCCTTCCAGTGTCCTGGTGCTCTTCCATTCCTCTCTTCTGCTGTGTGTCTTCTACCCATCTTTCCCCACCCCCAAGCAGCTTGATATTTGGAAGGCTCAGCACTGCTGCTAGCCCAAATGATAAAATTTCCTTATCCGCTGCATCTGCTCCTGTTTAAAGGCCTTGAAGATGGAAGAAAGGAGAAAGGCCTTCCTAACTAGAAGCAAATGTTTTGGGAAGCAGCAGAGTGCAAGGGAATTGATAGGAACACAGCAATCAGTGTTGCGTAGGATCTCCATTCTCAACAACACCACACCTACCCAACAAAGGGGAGATTTCCCCTTCCGTGCCAGTCTGCTCAAAGGAGATTTCAGCTGGACCTCAGCACGCTTCTTTTGCCCTCCAAGCAAAGACTTGGTTCCTTGGTTCCAGAGTGCCCACCCATCTAGCGCACAGAGACACCGTCAGTTCCAAGGAATAATGAAACCCATACGAAGATCCAGCCTAGGCCTACATACCATTCCATGGAGCTTTGCTAAGTGACTCCACTGGCCTAACTTTGGAGACCTACCAAACACAAACACACACACACCCCAAACACATTTAAGGTTGCCAACTCTGAATAATAATAAAAAATAGTCACAAACCCTCATGCTTTGGTAGAGCCTGGAAGACTGGGGTTAGAGCTAGGAGACTGATGTCAGAGATGGAACAGAACCTAAGGTTTACTGCTATGCCTTTTCAGTCATCAGGGCAGGTTACTCTACAGAAGACAGCATTACTGATCAGGCCAACAAGAGAAAGAGTGATTGCCAAGTCTAAGAAGCTTAGGCAAACATTGGAGCAGAATGGCCCATCAATAGCTATTAAACATCATTGTTAAATGAAACCTCCCTTTTCCATAATGTCTATCACTGTATGAGAGTTGCTGGGGCAGCAACAATGTGGGCAGCTACTGACTTTGTGCCCCGCTTATTAGCTTCCTGGAAGCACCAAACTAGTCCTGTGGGCTCACTATAGAAAGACTCTGGCTCTTTTCATAGGGATGGTCCATTGATCTATCCAAGCCAGAACACTAGGGCTGGCCCAAGACAATTTGACCCCTGAGGCAGACCACAAATGGCATGGGTGAGTGAGCATCTATAGCAGGAACAAGGGGTGGTTGTGCGGGGGGATGGGGAATAAAGATCTACAACAGGATCTGCTGCCCCTGTGGATTCTGCCATCTCAGCTCACCTCCTGAGTGGGCCAGCCCTGTAGAAGACACATGCCTAAACATGCACCCACTTGCCAGTAAATCTTTCTTTGCACCCAAACTTTCCAACTGTGAACACCAGCAAGAACAGAAACAGACTGACAGCCTGCAGCCGGTTCCTCCTTAATTTGGGGCTCACGTAAGAAATGCAACACTTTTAGGTTAATTACTGCTCTCTGCATCTGAAGAATTGCAGGCCAAGGAATTTTTCTGGGGAAAATAAGATAAGAGGAAACCAACGAGGCCTAAGCCTCATTTAACCACCCTCCAACACTCAAATCTCAGCCCCCACCACTGATGCAACCGCTGGGTAGGGAGGAGGCCACCCAATGGGGCCAAGAGCTAAAGCAAATAAATGCAAAGAAGGAAAGAAAAACATGGCAGAGAAGCCAAGGGGTTGAGGGGCTGGGGCAAGCAAGGTGCCAGCTGGCAAGCACTGCGCTCTGGGGCCAACCTCCCTTCCCAATTTGGGCTTGAAAAATAGGCCCAGAACATAGAAGAAGCAGAGGGCGGCCAGCGCCTGGAGCCAAAGCAAGCAAACAAACAGCAGCACCCAGCCCAAGAGCAACAGGAGAGCGAGATGCCAGGACACATGGCAAGGAATCAGGAGGCTCAACAAAGACCATCGGAAGAGAGGGAGGGCAGGGGCATTCCAGAAGGATCACCCAGGGAAACTGGCTAGGAAGCTCACTTGACAGGTCCAGAAAGGTCTTGGCATCTGTAGCATGTCTAGGGAGCATGGAAGCATCCTGTAATCATTATTAATGGCAAATCAACCTTTGTATAGTACTTTTGAGTCTCACCTGCACTAACTAGGTGTAATCCATACAACAACCTTGCAGGTAACTTGGAATTATTAATCCCATGCCACAGGCGGGGGAGACAGAGAGAATGGCGTGTGACACCAGCTCACTCTCACTTTGCTTTACAACAACCTAAGACTAATGGGTTTGGATTGCAGGAGTGCAGAGGAGGGCTTTGCTAGTATGAAATCCTCTATGACTACCAACTAAGTCTAACCTGAGCCCTATTAAATGTGAAGACCAGCCTGTCTGGTCTTAATTCTGTGGAGATCAGGATTAAATTGGCCAAAGGTAGTGGTGGTAAGCTTTATATTTTAATGTGTTTTTTTAATGTTCTGTTTTTTTAATGTTCTGTTGTGGTGGACTGGAGTGGGACTTTGCTTTTGACACCCACCTAAAACCTTCAGGACAGTGCAGCCCAAAAGCAAAATTCTGCAATTTAAATTACGGTATGCAAACAGGGCAGACATGCTTCAATGAACTTAATTCACATGCTTCATTTCATTGCACAATCTGGAACTGTCCCCACCCCCATCTCTCTCTCAGGAACTGGCATTGGGATTCACAAAAAACATGGGTCCAAGGAAGAGAAAATATTTGTGTAAGATAGAAAGAGAGGAGGATAGGATGGCATGTGTGTGCATTGCAGGGGGCGGGGAGGGGGTACTGGAAAATGTTCCTGTTGAAGAAGCCAGAGCCAACCTGGTCACCAAGGCCCCTCTGGTTTTTTAAAAAGCAAAGAACTGCCCACATATTGTTAAGTTCTCAATGCTATCATAAAGATTAAAATGATGATGGGCTTGTTTTAAAGAACCAGAACTATGCAAATTCTGTAGAGTTTAGCCAGTCTGCACTGGAAGCTCTCTCTTTCTCTTTCATGTTCAATGTGCCATGATAAGCCATAGATCCTCTGTGCATATCCACACCTGCGGCCTTTTCAGCTCTCACCCCAACTATAAGCAAAACTGAAACACACGTCACAGAATAATAGAATCCTAGAACTGTAGAGTTGGAAGGGATTCCGAGGGTCATCTAGTCCAGCCCCCGGCAACGCAGGAATCTCAATGTCAATTTGTTCAATAGAGAGAAGGCTCACAATTCCTTCTCAAAGAAGCAATTGAGAGATACAGTACCTAAACAAAATGGAGCTAGAAGATGGCAAGAGGATCCTGTGAATCTCTCCCTCCCTCCCTCCCTCCCCCCCTCTCTCTCTCTCTCTCATTCTCTCACTGTCTCTGATGTCGTTGCAAGTAAAAACTCAATATAAATTCTTGAAAGCTACAAGCTGTTGACGTTACAGGAGATGCTCAGCTGAACAGTGTTACAGGCTCCACTGCAAAGCTGTCTCAGGTCTGAGGGTTTGCCACAGAACACAAGCTTCCCCCCCCCCGCCCCCCAAAAAATAACAACACAAGCAGGTCCCTTTGGCAAAAGCAGTCAGGGGGATTGCTTTGAATAGACACTTTAATAGATCCCGGGAGGAAGGAGAGGCAAGCAGAGCATTTGTGAGGCTGCATCATTTGCCAAACCCCTGCCTCTTGCATCCACGAGATGCAGGTAGTGCCTCCCCAAACTGGTTCTGCCTCCCCAGCTCCCAGCTGTTGCTTGGAGACACCAGGTAAAAACAAGCAAACACCCCTAGCCAGGTGTGCTGGTAACACACAGCAACACGTGCAACAAAGCAGATAAAAACCAGAAGCTAAGGAGGACACAGCCCAAAGGGGGCAGCAGAAACAGGCTCCAGAAAGCACACTTTTAGGACAGGGTTCATCCCCAAGCATAGAGCAGCATGGATACATCGATGGTCCTATACAATACAGGTATTATCCCCGGGGCTCCAAGGAGTCTCATAAGCATCTTTACCTGCTTGCTGCTTGAATGCTGCTGCCCGTAGATTTCATCAGAGATTCCCAATGAGCTCTCCAAAGAATGTAAGCTGAAAGGAGAACACAGATATTACAGTGAATATCTGCATGTTACAGGGAAGAAGTAACAAATAATTATCAGTGGCCCTCTAGATGTTGCTGGACTACAACTCCCACCACCCAGAATTTTGTTGACAGTGTTCACACACAAACACACACACACACACACACAGAGAGAGAGAGAGAGAGAGAGAGAGAGAGAGAGAGAGAGAAAGATGATGTTCTTTTAGGAGGGAGAAAACCCAAGCTACTGTGAAGAGCCCCCAAAGGCTCTCTCCATAATGGAGTGCACTGGGATCTGAATGCACCCTGACCAACGAGAAAAAGATATTGTGCACAGCTCAGTGAATCCATCAGCTAAATGTACAGCAAAAGTGACAAAGAAAATTCTATATTAGAAAGAAGACTGAAAACAAAACAAAACAACATTACAATGTTAAAATCTATGGGGCATTTGGAATATTGTTGGGACACTTCTGGTCACCACATCTCAAAAAGGATATTACAAAACTGGAAGAAGATAAAGAAAGGGGCAACCAAATTGAGCAAGCGGAAAGCATATCTTTCCAAGAAGAAAGGATGAAGCATTTGGGGCCTTTTAATTTAAAGATGTCCAAAGGGGACCTGAGAGTTGCTAATAAAATGATACCCGAATGAGAAAAAGAGAGGGGATGGATCAAGACCAGGCATAGGCAAACTTGGCCCTCCAGATGTTTTGGGACTACAACTCCCATCATCCCTGACCACTGGTCCTATTAGCTAGGGATCATGGGAGTTGTAGTCCCCAAACATCTGGAGGGCCGAGTTTGTCTATGCCTGATCTAGACACATCAAAAAAGTGTTTTAGGAAAACACGTTGTAAATCTCAAAGTGGGAAATCTCCACAGCGCCATCTGGTGCCACAGTGTTATAATGTATATAAAACGCTTTAAAAAAACAACAACTAATGTAGCTGAGTCCAAAGATTAGACTCTCCCACACAGTACATACAAGAATTGGGGATCAGCCAATGAGTTTGATTGGAAGTCAATTCAGGTCAGACAAAAGAAAATATTTTATACAATGCATCAGTAACTTATGGAATTCACTGGGATGCAATGATTTAGGCTGTGTACATATCCATGTTTATTCTTCACCCAGTGTGCTTCCACTGCTGGTTCGGGAAGTGGCGTACAGATGACATTAGTCACAATCCATACCTTTCCTGTATCTATCATGTTGCTTCCTATGAAATACTGTGTTTTGATGCATTTTCCCAAACACCCCCTTCAATTCAAACGGAGAGAGAGAGTGATCTAGCTGTGTTTTAAACCAGCCTTAAGACTGATTTAAAAGGGGGTGGCAGCTGCTATGACTGGCCATGGAGATTCCATTGGACTGATGCAGTAGACCTCAAATTCCAATGTTTTGTGGGGAGGACTCTTGCCAGGAAGAAACCCACAAACAGAGCATGGAGGCATCTGGCTGCTTACAGGAAACAGGAGGCAGAGTCACATGGATCAGGATTATTATATACCTGCGGCTGTTCACCACGGATTCCCCTCTGTCCTCACCGGGTAGGTCAGGCCTCTGGGGACTGTATGGGCTACCAGCTCGGTATCCAGGAGATGAAGGAGAGTAGGGACTGCTGGGCCGTGGGCTGATGGAGGCTGGGCTGGAGTAGGAAGATCTCACTGAGTTCTGACCATCATCTCTGGTTCTGACAACATCCTACAGGAGAAGTCCATAAAAAAACCATGTCAAGACCGATAGGCTGCATAGGTAAAGGTAAAGGGACCCCTGACCATTAGGTCCAGTCATGACCGACTCTGGGGTTGCGGCGCTCATCTCGCTGTACTGGCCGAGGGAGCCGGCGTACAGCTTCCGGGTCATGTGGCCAGCAGGACTAAGCCACTTTTGGCGAACCAGAGCAGTGCACGGAAACACCGTTTACCTTCCCGCCAGAGCGGTACCTATTTATCTACTTGCACTTTGACGTGCTTTCGAACTGCTGGGTTGGCAGGAGCAGGGACCGAGCAACGGGAGCTCACCCGGTTGCAGGGATTCGAACCGCCGACCTTCTGATCGGCAAGTCCTAGGTTATGTGGTTTAACCCACAGTGCCACCCGCGTCCCTGATAGGCTGCATAGAGACACACAAATCTGCTTTATCACTGGTCCATCTAGTTCAGATCATCAGACCAAGTCAGATCATTGGTCCATCTAGCTCATAATTATCTACACTAAATGCAACAGCTCTCCAGAGTTTTAGGCAGGGGACATTCCCAACCCTACCTGGAGATGCTGGTGTTGAACCTGGGACCTTCTGTGTGTAAAGAAAATCCAAGTGACACCACTCATAGCCCATAATAATCAACATTAACTACTCTTTGATGGTATCTCAAAAGTTAATGCACAAGGAAGTTTTCCTCTACCTGCTTTAATAATAACACGAGTCTTGGCTCAGCCCAGTTTTGTTCCCATGCAGGGTTAGGAAAGTTTGAAAGGGAGCAATTCTGTGGGAAGGACCATCACTGTGATTATTGAGGCAGGACAATGCTGGCAGAGCAGCAACCGCCTGTCAGAGCCTGTCCATGGAACTGCTTCCTTTCTCAGGTTATCAGAAGTGTGTGGGAACGGCTAGGGCTCAGCGACTCGGCACCACTCAGGGAACCTGCCCATCACATTAAGGATTCCAGGGCCGTTTCCTCAGGTTATCGAGTTGTTTTAAAACAAGATTTATATAATGCTTAAGAAAAATATTTAAGTGGTTTACAAGAAACAGTAAGAAAAAAGAAAACAATAATAAAACCAGACTTTAAAAGCAAACTTTGGAAAATACACATAAAATTTATAAGCACATAGCTAAAATGAACACTTAAAAAACCAATGTACGTAATAAAATTACATGTCTTCATTGGCTTACATAAACAAAATAGATTTTAGTTGGTGCCAAAAGGTTTTAAGTGAGTGTCACTTAATGTCTATTTGGCATTATGTGGTATAAAAAATAATGTTAATGTTAATAATAATAATAATAATAATAATAATAATAATAATAATAGATGAAAGGTACACACCCAGCATTAACTGGTAGAGAGTTTTGGAAAATGGGTGCACTCAAGTAACAAATTGGCAGCCAGAGTAGACATCTCAGCAACAGTGTAATATGCTGGAAGAGTCTTGGTCTTATTTTTGATAAACTTTCAACCCATGGCAGCAGCTGAAGTAGTGCAGGAGAAGACTACTGCCAGAGAATGGCCTTTCACAGGGTGCCGCTGCCAATCAGAGTGAAAACTACAAAGGACCTGAGAAAAAGATTGTATGTCAAAAATGTAGGTGGAGAGAGATGGATGCCCAGGGGCAGGACCCTCAACATAAACCTCTTAAGCCTCAGCTTTCATGGAAACAGAAATTCAGCAACAAAGGCAAGCAGAGGCCTGTATCTGTGAATGACCCATAAGCACCTGGAAATTTGTTGAAGAGCTGACATTCTCAACAAACTGAGATGTAATGATACATTTCCATGTATCACCTATACTGTATTCATATCCTGGCAGAGATACATGATCACAACTCAAACCCTACAGTATGTGCTTTTTGGAGTACTCTTTCTATGTGCACATGTGTCTCTGTGTGTTTAACGATAAGAGATCCGAATCATGGATCTGCTACAGGTGTCTTCCCCAAACTGGCACCCTCCAACTGCCATCAGCCCCAGTCAGCACATTGGGAAAGGCATGTCTAGTTACACCTTCATTCTGACCAAACTTAACAGGATATAGCATAGAATTTTATAATATACGTAAATACTGGAGATATCAGGCTGCTTTTTCCAATTTGCGTTGGAATTATCTGAAAGCAAAGCAGTACTGGAAAGCTATCTGTGAAATGGTTGAATTGGGGTATTTTTTTAACAGATCCTTTAAATGTGTGGATTGAAAGTGCTTGATGGCTTGCTGCCAATAGGAAAACATCCAGTTTGGCAAATAATCACAGCAGCTAAAATTGGTTGAGTGAGACACTGGAAAACTGACACTGTTCTGTCAATTGTAGGATGGCTAAGGAAGATTATTGATATGGATGAAGGAGGAAAACTTACATAAATTATACACAGGCAAATAAAGAAAAACATTATCCCAAGATTTGAGTTAAATCAGCCAGGTATAAGGAATGTTGGAAAACATAACATCCACCAATGTTTATGTTGTCCAGTGGTTTTCACTTTGTGCCTATTTGTAATGCTAACTTTTAGGAAAAAGGAATACCACAGCCCTGATCTCTATAGTATGGCAGAAGAGGGGCAATATCAATGCAGTGGGGGGGGGGACTTCTTTTTTAGACCAAAGGCTGAATTCCTAGTTGGGGCACATGACAGCGGTAGCTGTGGCAGTGGAGGAGACTCGTATCTTTGCACACAGTCCAGCTGTGGCCCAGCGAACAAGTTTCCACACCTGCAGCTCTCCATCAGGGAAGCAAGGGGCCAGTTCAAGAGCCCAAGGACAGATTCCTGCTAGGCCAAAAAACTGGAGGCAGTTATGGAACAGGTTCAGTGAGAGTGTGGCCTGTGAAGAGTTCTGAGGGCCAGGTGAGAGGTAGCAGAGGGCCACACTTAGGTTAGATATGTATTAATGGGTCAAGGGAACAGTGCCCAGCTGCCTTTCTGTAGGTGAAGAGGAAAAGAAAAAGGCCCCCCTGAGGGAGATCCACTTTGCCTCAGCTTTTCTTGCTCTGTGGAAGGCAAGTAAAACCATTTTATTCCTGTTGAATCATTAGCTCTCTTAATGAATTGTTATGCAGCACACTTCTATGTAAAAGTAAAACCCACTGGTTTATTCCCTAGGTACTATTTTCTAAAGTTTTATCAGATGTATTTTTAAATATTCTGTCTTGTTTTAATATTTTAATTGTATTTATTGATGTTTTCAAATCTTTGTTAGTCACTTTGACAGAAATATGGGGTGTAAATTACTGACCAAAAATACATAGATAAAATGCATGGTTCAGGATGCCCCACCGTATACTTGGTGTCAGAAGCAGAGGGGTGCTCACCTGAAACCGTATGGACAACAACTCTGCTGAACTCTCACCATTTGTCTGACTGGGAGAAAACTGTTGAGACCTGGAAAAGAGATGAAGAAGATTGATAGGGAACAAAATAGTCAGTGGGCTGGCAATTTCCTTGACGTCTGTGCTACTCAAAGCAACCCCCCGCAAGGCCTTATAAGCAGGTGACCCCTCCAGTCTTGCAGTGAATCCAGAAGAAAGAGCATCCACAGGGTTCAAAGGTCATTGAAGAATGAGATGCCATCTCTAACCCTAAGCTTGTAGAAGTTGATATACTTACTGCAAAACATTCTAAGTGGTTAACATATTAATCTATAAAATGCACTCAAATTACAAATGGAAATTTAACACATTGTATAATATCTTTTTTAAAAATGACATCTAAAAATTGTGTTCCTAGCTATTATGATTACAGGAGCAGTATCATTTTTATTGTGTGACCAGCATAGGTTGCAAGCACAATTAATCAAGGAAAACACTGAAAATGTGTGACCAGTTTCTACTCAAATCTGAGGAACCAGGGGGTAGTTTTATTTTGGTATGTGCTGATTTCAAAAAGTGTTAAGATTTCTGGTCTGGTGTGTGTACCACATCCCCATTTGAACCTTGAGTAGCCTTATTTTGCACCCCCTCCCATGAACACACACACACACACAGAGAGAGAGAGAGAGAGAGAGAGAGAGAGAGAGAGAGAGAGATTGCTTCTCCCACAAAGGGTGTTCACTATATGGCTTTCAAATGAGGCACAGATGGCAAGTATGAGAGCTACCCTAATACTGCTGCCCTCCCACCAGGATGAACAGAGAGCTGCCCTCCCATATAGGGATCAAAGCAGCCTTGTTCTACCCCCAACTAACCTCCATCAGAGGAGCTGCTGGCTCCAGCCGCAAAACAAGGGGCACGGTTGGATACCTCCCCTGCCCCCAATCCCAGACTCTGAAATTGGCGGGGTGGTCAGAGAGAAGCGGCTGCCTTTATATTCTCTCAAGAGGAATGCATCTGGGGCTTTGATGTAGCAGGAATCTGGAATTCATTAAAGGGAATTAAATCAGGCAGGGGAGGGTAGGCAGTGCAGTGAGATGGCAATGAGGACAGAACGCAGAGAGCAAAGGGGATGACAAATAGGCGGGATATGGCACAGTCCACAGGACCACATATTTATGGTAAGCATGCTTCAAGGATAGCCTGTATTCTTTGGGAAGTGGGTGGGGGAAATATTTTCCAGATAGCAGTCCAAGCCCAGAGGCATTTATTGCCACGAAAAAGAAATTAAGGTGTATGAATATGCAGATAGATATCTCACATGCATCACCTTTAAAATGAAGAGAGTGAGATGTATCATTAAAGCATAGAATCTCTCAGTGTCTCATAATTAGCAAATAGCTTTTATTTTCTCAACAGTCAAACTGTTGGCATGCTTTGCACCGGTGGTGGGCAGGAGTTACAGTAAGCAGTCATGCAGGTATATCACACCAGACCAATGGTCCATCTAGTTCACTACTGTCCACTCTCCATGGAGTCAGAGAAGAGTCTTTTGCAGCCTGACCTGGAGATGCCAGGAACCTTTAACTTGCTTAGCCTGCATCTACTGGTAGCCCACCCTCCAATGAAAAAAGGGACACCAGGAAGCTTCTCCGTACTTGATCTCCCGCACACCTAAACGGCATATACACATTGACATCTGTCACCTTGAGCTGATGACAACCTCTCCAATGAACCTGCCTCACAGAATTGTTGTAAACAGATAAATGGAATGGAATAAAATTTTAGCTGTAAGCCACCTTGAAAAGGGCAGGAAAAGGTGTGATTTAGTAATAGCAATAGTAAGAATGGAAACCGTGAGAATGATCAGGAACATACCAGAGAGTAACTGAACTCATTGAGGACTTTGTTCTGAGTAGAAATGTTTAGGATTGCAATGTAAGGCTGCACAGTCTTTACCCAGATACCTGGGAGTAAGCTCCATTGAATACAGTGGGCCTTACTTCTGGGTAGACAGTGTAAGGCTCAGTTTACAATAAAGGAATAAACACTCAATGCATTTCCTTAAAAATGGCTGGCTGCTGGAGCATTGCAATTAAAGAATTTAATGTGGATTGGTTACATTTTCCTTCAATATTATAGGAAGTTCTACAGGTATATGCCAGCATCACTGTTTCTTTCATTTGGTGTAAATATTTTATTTTCAGTATAAACAGGACTCCATTTAATCATGACCAAAGTTCTTGTTTCCCAAAAGGACAGGAGGGGGGTGGGTCTGACCACTTTTAATTGTTCTCCAATACATGAAGGGGAGGAAAAAGGAAAAGTGGAACATTTTGGGATCAAATTAGAAAGCAGGATGGCTTCAGTAATTCTGGGACTATCCCTGGAAAATCAGGACACTTGGAGGGTTTGTGGGGGATCACTGGACTATCTGTGGTGGGCTGTGCTTCTGAGACCAAGTTATTAACAGCATCAACAGCACAAAGGCTGAACTGTACTAACCCAGATGCACGGTAATTCATACTTCAATTTTCTTTTTTTTCCCTTTTTAAAAATATATTTATTAGAATTTTACAAAATGAAAAAAGAAAAAAGAAAAATACAAAGTAAGGATAGATTAAAAAAAAAACAAACACAATTCCATCTTTCCATCACTTTCTTTTGTTTGCTTATTTCCCGGACCTCCTCACACCTCCCTTTTTGTATTCCAGTTCAGTTTGTTAGTTCAGCAAATCCTTCCCCTCTTTGTTTATCCTAATCTTTAATCTTAAAATAATGTAACATTAAATTTTTGTCTGTTAATAATCTATTTTTTCCATACTCCTTATAGCGTTATAGCTAAAAACCACATAACTTTCATCCAACATCATTTTAACACTCATTAATTTTACAATATTTCTGTAGGTAATCTTTAAATTTCTTCCAATCTTCTTCCACCGACTCTTCTCCCTGGCATACTTCAATTTTCAGGTCATCCTAGAATACAGCTCATGGGGTGCATTAGACAATTGGCTCCACTCCTGAGCTGCCATTTGGATCAGGCTTTGGATGGAGAACCTCAGAGTCAGAGTTATAAAACAAAGGAGATCCTGCAAGCCTGCCCACATTTACTTTACCCTGTACTCAGATTAAAATTTGGTATGGCCTCCAAGGAGACATATAATTGCCTCAACTGGGAGGCAGATTAAGCCTGAAAGCTACCAACTGGCCATTCCTAGCATGAAGGCTGATAGCAAGTCCTTATTGTAATGTAATTATGTGAGTGTGTGCTTATCTGCAGAGCCCATCTTTCTGTGGAATAAGTAACTGGCAGGGTACCATTAGCATGGCAACCTAAATCTATGTTTGCAAGGGGGGGGATGCAAAATAATTCCCAGCTCCTAGACTTTTAAGTGAGGGTCAGTCAAGGACAAAACTCCTCAAAAAAAGAAAAAAAAAAGGAAAAGGCACACAAAGAAGGAATTATTTTTAAAATCTGCATTATACCTTGGGTCCATCTATATCAATTTGTCTACAAGGAATGGCAGCAGGTCTCCAGAGTCTGCCAGGGATGGAACCCAGGACCTGCCACTAAGCTAGGGTTCTTCCCCTCAGACGCACATCCCATGGTGCCTGTCAAGGCGTCTGCTCTTCTCAATTTCTATTTTTTAAATTGAGGGGGGGGGTTGCCTTTTGTGGTTGTTCAGTTGTGGGGGGTTGCTTGCTTGGTTATGCTACTTTTTGTCTGTGTTTTAAAGTACAGGAGCGATTTGCCTAGGTTTTTTGAGGGGTGGGGGGAGTCTCTTATGTGAAATTCATATTTTGTAGTGAGCACAGCAGTTTCCTACATTTCCAAATATGCTTATGGGCTTAAAAGAGTAATTTTTTAAAGAGGTTCTATTCACCAATTTATGCAATGCATTTCTGCATTCCTATGGTAGACTGTAACCAACATAAAAATAAAGGCGGACAGAACCTTTTGCGGGACCCCTGGCCCCACAGAAGGAGGCAGAGCAAGATCTGGGTGGGACCAAGGCCAGACGGAGGTAACTTCAGCCAGAGCGTTTCACATGGAGAGTCTGAAAATCAAGTTGAGAAGCTTCCAGAAGGGCAGAGAGGAAGACGGGGAGGGCTGGTGTAGATGGGCCTGAAAATCTGCATGACCATAAATGGCTTTCCACCAAGAATCAGGCAAGATCAAGTGGCGACTTCTCAGAACCTAAGCCTTAAAAAACCCCAAAGTATCTCTCCTGAGTGTTACCTGAAGAACAAGTTTTGAATATTAGTGGTTAAAAGTGCAAGAGAGGAAATCCCCGCTTTAAACTTTACCTCAGTCACAAATTCTTTAGGTGGCCTTAGGCAAGTAAGTCACTGTTCCCTCAGCCAAAACTCCCCGTCTGGGCAAAACAGTGCTGTACTGAAACTTCCAGGATACTGTGCATGATGCACTTTGGACATTTGTCTGAAGCATTATAGGTGGGAGCTGCCTTCCCCCAAGCTGGTCCAGCCAGCGCAGTCTTCTTCCCAGCGACTGGGAATGGCTCTCTGGGGTTCCAGGCGGGGGACCTTCCCAGCCCCCCCTGGAGAGGCCAGGGACCGAACCTGGGATTTCTGCAGGCAAAGCAAATGCTCTACCAAATGGCCCTTCCCCCCTTTTTAAAAAATACTAGGCATAGCTCCTCCTGTGCAGGAAAATGGGTGCCCACCATGTGGGGATGCTGCACACACTTACAGGAAGAGGGAGAGGGATAGAGGGCATTCCAGGGCACACAGGGAAATCTCTGAAACCGAGTGGAGACCGAGGGTTGCGAATGGGAATTGCCCCCAAGTGGCCAAGGAACAATGGCAGCAGGAAGTAGGGCTGTTGGAGAATTTAGGTGGAAGTGTGAATGGAAATTGTTTATATTAACATTCATCTCATTCCACAACGGAAATCTATTCAGTGAATATGATCTGTTTTAGCTGTTATTATTTCCAGTCCACAAATGATACATAATGATACATAATTCATACCAGCCAAAAATTTGCACTGTATTTCTTTTGCTTTGAAATGAATGGTGTGGAATTGTGTGATGATAACTTGATTTATATATAACACCACAGTGGACAGTAAGAAGCCCATCTGCAACAGAAAGGACACGGTGCTGTATGAGATGAACGCAAGGCTGGAATGGAAACCAAAGCTTTCTTACATCCCTAGCACTGAGCAACACACAAGCCTAAGTTTTCACCTGGCTATGGCTGAAGGGGTCTCCAAAGAACAGTCAGAAACTCAGGGAGAAATGTTTGCTACTTCAGAGAAAGAGAGGCAAAAAGGCACCCAGCACTGAGCTAACTCAAAGAGCTCCAAGTGCCCCAGGACAACTGTAGGGTGGGGGCAGAGAGGGTGGAGGAGGAAGAGAAAAAGATGAGCCGAAGGCCCCGGAATGAGAGGAATGCTGCCTCCTGAAGCTCCTTCAGTTCGGTTTGTCGGTTTTGGGGTGGTGCCAAGATACATTAAGACTTTCCAACTCTCATCTAGCATCCGTTGCATGTCAAAAGCAGAAGAAACAAGGAAAGGGGACACAGCAGTGAGGCAGAAGACGGAGTCTCCTGGCCAAGTGGTGCAGAAAGGCATGTTGTTGTGCACTGCCCAGCTGGTCTGCAGAACACTCAAGTGTGCATGCCACAGCACTGTGAGCCTACAAGCCAGAGCCTGCAAGCCAGGAGAGGCGTGCCAAGGCCCTGTCAAGGCTCACACTGCAGGTGCTGAGTGGGACAGTTCAGGTTGAACCCCAAGTGCCAGGCACCACCTGCACGGCAGAATGAAAGCACAATTATACCGCTTTAAGCCATGTAAAGGATGCTGAGAGTTCTTAGGTAAAGGTAAAGGTAAAGGTACCCCTGCCTGTACGGGCCAGTCTTGACAGACTCTAGGGTTGTGCGCCCATCTCACTCAAGAGGCCGGGGGCCAGCGCTGTCCGGAGACACTTCCGGGTCACGTGGCCAGCGTGACATCGCTGCTCTGGCGAGCCAGAGCCACACACGGAAACGCCGTTTACCTTCCCGCTAGTAAGCGGTCCCTATTTATCTACTTGCACCCGGGGGTGCTTTCGAACTGCTAGGTTGGCAGGCGCTGGGACCGAGCAACGGGAGCGCACCCCGCCGCGGGGATTCGAACCGCCGACCTTTCGATCGGCAAGCCCTAGGCGCTGAGGCTTTTACCCACAGCGCCACCCGCGTCCCCTATTGATTGTTAAACCATTCTGCAAATTGTAGCTGGGGGGCGGGAGGGGTCTCCTAGCAACTCTTACAACTCATAGCAAACTACAGTTCCCCTGATTCTTTGGCAGAAGCCACAATTGTGTAAAGTGGTGCAATACTGCTTTAAGTGGATAGCGCAGACTGGGCCCCAGAAAGGAACTTGAGGAACCTGAGCTAGGGCTGTACCCCGCTCCGCAGCCACTGCCCCCAACCACACGCACTCCAGGACTCCCTCATGATCTGAACTCAGCTGTGCTGCACCTGAGGCTGCGGGCCACACTCCAGTATCAGCCAGCACTGGGTGGGGAAAGAGAATATCTGAGTCATGCCAGTAGAAGACCACACCCTGGACAGCGGCCTGTTGTCAAATGGCTTTACACAATGCAACAGTCTGCTTCTTCCCCTCCATCCTTCTCCCCACCCCCAAGACAAGGCCAAGTTTCGTCTGTCACAGAGTCTGACTCATCGGAGACTAGGAGATTGCTACCCGTTTCCCCGCCCTAGGCAATATTGCCAGCCTTGCCCCAAAGGCTACTTCACAGCTCACTAGCTTTGCAGTCACATGCAGGCTCATGTGGGATTATTACAGACCCAGCTGGGCTTATGCAACAGGGCACAGGAAAACTCCAGCACCGGACCCAGTGGGAGGTGCATCTTCAACACGCCTCGAAGCAGAGTTATTCTGGCTTACTTCACTTTCACAGGCCCTTTGAAAGGAGGAGAATCTGTGTGCAAACACAGAGCTTTTTTGTTTTTGTAAACCTTCTTCCAAAACAAGTATCAATTGCCACCATTAAGAGTTTGAAAAGGGACATTCAGGATTAGCAAGAAGAGTGCCAGTGGGCTGAGGTTTTCCACACACATCTGTCCTGTGCTCTGTAGCCTGCTTTGCCCAACAACAGAATCCCAGAAGGGCCTGCCCCACCCTGGTGGTGAGACAAGCTCTCGCCCATCGCCCCAAAAGTCCTATGCGCTCTGTTGCTCCCTCTCTCTGCACCAAGGAGTTTTAATTTGCCAGCTTTGATAGCTGGATGCCAGGCGCAGCAGGAAAAGTAAGACTTGACTGCTGGGCTGTTATTTTTTGAGCCCACCATCTGTGCTAGTCAATGGGGTTGTTTAAAATGTACTCATACAAAAGCAAGTTAGTTTTTTAGGATTTCTCCCACCACCCATTGGGAAGAAATGATCACACACACACACACACACACACACACACACTCTACACTGGGAACCATTCTTGGCAGGCTTTCTAGTCCTTTCGGCAGACAAAAGAAATTTTGAAAGTACTTTGAAACTTGAGGCTCAAAAGCAGAGCAAATTTCAGGCAAATATTTCAGCTACCTAAGAGTATGGCTTTTTTTATTCCTCCTCTCCCCTCTAAGCCAACTTTCTGTTCTCATGCCTCGGCTGCCTCACTCCCCTCCTCAAAAGCCTTTTCTCTTGCCTTGGCATCTGCCAGGCCTGTGCTTAACCAAAATCCACCTTAATTCTACAAAAACATAACAATAAAATAACAATACACTGCAATAAACATACATTGCGCAGATTAGGTTTCTGTCATAATTCTTATGGTGGAATTTGATCTTCCTTGGCCACCGAATCTGTGCATGTAGAGTAGACACACCAGCATAAATAAAGGAGAACCAGAGCAGCACTAAGAAGCTGGTTTTGACCCCCTCACACAGGACCCCCCTCATCTGCAGAGCTTACCAAGCTACACCTCCCAAGTTCCCTTTGGCACAGAATATACAGACAAGCACGGCCCCTTCCCCCAAGAACAGCCCCAGGCTCTAGAAGCAGTCAGACCTGGGCAGCAGGAAAACAACTGCCCAAGCTGCTTCCCTTCCCAGCTAATCCGCCCCAGCTTAGCTTTGTGCTGCTTTGCAAACCACTAGCATGCTCTCAGAGCCAAAGATACAGCTCCTGAACACTGCGCAAGGGAAGCCAATAGTCAGTCAACTCCAGCCAACCAGTCCTTGGCTCTGTCCTTATAACCCACAAGCTGTACACAAAAGATCAGGGATTTTAGCTGCTTTTCCCTGCAGCTTCCAGGGTACAGCCAAGGAGATGGCTGGGTGCACCATTTCAGAGTGTCTGACCCCTGCAGTCCCCACGTATGACAAGCAGGCCCAGAGTGGGCTCCTAAGGACAGACCTTGCTGGGAGAAGGGAAATGTCACAATAACACAAAACAGCAAACACCTAAATGCTCATAGGTTTTCATATACACTTCTTTAAGAGTGTTCTTAAAATGTAAAAAGTCCTAGCACCCTATCTGTCATCCCAGTTTGTTTGCATTAACTGGCCTGAGAACTGGGACTGGGTTACTTCTTACTGCTCTTTTTCAACATTAACAGAAGGCTCCAGGAGTTAATCCAAGGAGGCCCTGCCCACCTCCCAAGGCCTTTAACCCACAGCAGAACGTGAACCAATGGCCAGGAACCTTAGGGCGCTTCCCATAATGGAGGCCACAGGCAGCAGCCTCACACCCCACAGTCACAGTTCCCACTTTGGACACAGTCCATTCCTATTCCTGGTGCAGCCGGTCCACTCGTCCCTTCGTGTCTTTATCTCAAGAGTGGGCAGATGTCAGTCTTGCATAGCCTAAATTGTTGTTGTTTTGATTTACTTTTGCTTTTTCTTTCTTTTTTACTAGCATCTCATGAATCTGCCAACCAGATCCAGATGCGAAACTGTAGGGTGGAAGAGATTCATTTAGGATTACGGAAGAGGGTGCATCTGAGCACATGTCCAGCACAAGAGTTTGTTTTCGAAACCAGAACTGAGCTCACAGTAACACCCCAAAAATCACAGCTGGTTCCCCCCAAGTGTTTTAGCAGTCAAATTCAGCAGTCAAATACACCAAACTTTTTAGGTGTAACAATTCCAATCTTCTGCAAGTTACCCAGAGAGCAACGCTCCACTCTTTACTCCAGCTTCTGTTTACAGTAAGCAGAAGCTAGAGTTTTTTCTTCTGTCACTCTTGATAGGATTTATTCTTCCTCCTTCCTTTTAAATAAGGCCCCTCACTTTCAATGCAGGAACATCCATGGGCCTTTGCTCAGCAACCACGGATCAATATCTTGAATTTTATGAAATTAAATGGCATTTGTGGGAGAACCAAGCAATTGGTAAAGAGCACCATACTTGCCTTTTGTTAACTGACACAGAAAAGAAAGGACAACCCACTGCAGCTGAAACTAAGAGCTAAAAGCATCCTCCCCAGCTCCTAAAACAGCAGTTCTTGTCCCCCTCAAGACAGGAGAGCAGTTGCTAGAACTTCCCAAAGCAGCAGGGTTGCAGAATGGCAGCCCTATTTGTCCACAACCCAAATGGAAATGGAGAGAAGGACTGCAACTGTCCGTCCAGGAAAAAAGCACTAAAGTGTTTTCATGTTTGATTACTGACATTGCTCATTCCAGTTTTGTGCCTTTCAGTATTCCTTTATTTTACTTTCACTGATGGCATCATTAAAGGCACAGTGAAGGAATGGATGCTCTGATTTGGCTCCCCAAAACTATGGGGCCAGGAACCTCTGGCGCAATTGCTTATGGTTAATTTGGCCCTTGCTACAGGCAACCTTACCTGTCCACCTGCAGCTGCAGCTGCCCAGAGCTCTGCTTAATCTTGTTCTGTGCTTCCACATTGAGCATCTCGGAAGTGCTCTCTCCATTGATGGAGATTATGACATCACCAGGACGAAGGTCACCTAGAGCTGCTTTGCCATGCTCAGTCACCTGCATAAAGAATGAGAAAGGCAGAGACACATCAAGCTAAAATGCGGCTCCTGGGAACAAGCCATGCCCAACTGTGCATCAAGATGAAGGCAGATGAATAGCAGACATTCTATCCCACCAGCTCCTTTATTTATTTAACATGTTAGACTGCTTAATATAATAAAATCTCAAAGTGCTATGGAGTTTGTACAGTTTGCTTCCACTGGCTCTGTCCCCATATCCAAACAAACGTCTGCACAAAGGATTTGTCTGGATTAGTTAATAACATGGGCTAAATTAACCCCTATTAAGAGTCTCTGCACCCGCCCATCTTAAAGATTAAAAGTGGATTTGCAATGTGTTATGCTTAATAGAAAAAAGTTAATTAAACCCGACTGAAAACATTCCAGAAGAGTAACAGAGTTAAATCTGCTGTAGCAAAAACATCAAAAGATTCCTGTTGCACCATAAAGGCTAATAAGCGTATTGTGACATGGCCTTTTGAAATGTATGGCTCTGCTTCACCGTGTGCATTTGACAATTTGGGGAAAGAAACTAAGTCACTGTGCATTTATGCTATAACATCTTATTATGGACTAAGCAAGTTACTGCCATGAAGACCACAAAGAGCAAAATACAAAACTGGCAAAGCAACCAGTATTTTTTAACAAGGCCCACTGCTTTTCGGGGAAGTGCCAATTTCTAAATTCATCCAGAGAGCTCTCTCCATAATACCAGTCACTTTGTAAAATGCCTTTCTTATTATTTTAAAAGCACTTTCACCCTACTTTAAATCACTCCATTACATGGCACAGCAAAATCCATGTGTCCAGAAATGTGTGCCTACCGGGGGAGGGGGATGGAAAGAATTGTTCATGCAATGAGGTTGGTTGTTGAATTACAACGTCCCTTCAATCTTAAACTTACAGTATTGGAGTGTGATGGATAATTCTAAAAACAAAGAAGTGTCACACTCCTTATATAAAAGCGTTTGACAGCCATGAAGAATTGGATATCCAATAAACAGCATATGCTGATGGTCTTTCTCATGCTGGCTACAGATTGGTTTTGCAACATTTGAAAAATTGCAGAAATGGGGAGGCTTAAAGAAAGTATATAATTAAAAGAAGGATGGAGATCACACAAAAATTTTGAGCAATGTCGGAGTTGCTCTATATCAATTGATGTATTGGAAACAATGATATAATCTGAATGTAACTCAAATTGCAAGGAGATTCCAACTAAACATTAGGAAGAACTTTCTGATGGTAAGAGCTGGCTCATGAAGGTAGTGGACTCTCCTTCCTTGGAGGTCGGATGGCCATCTGTCAGGGATGCTTGAGCTGTGATTCCTGCATTGCAGGAGGTTGGACTAGACGGCCTTGGGGTTCCTTCCAGCTCTACAATTCCATGATTCTGTAAGTGTCTTGCAATATTTTAACCATCTTTGTACTCCAGTCATAGTTTCTGTTAAAGATTCCCTTAAACACTGCAGTTTATTACAATAATTTATAGCATACTCTTCCATTTCAAAATAGCGCTCAAGGCAGCTACATAAATACTGAATGTTTCTTTTGTCCTGTATTCTGGAAACATCTGGATGTTAACAATGCATTATTGTGACATGTGATGCTGTTGAAATGCTAGTAAAGAGACCAAAACAACAACACCCTTATCCCTTACAACATCTGTGACTCTTATTCTAGTTTTGTTTTTGCAGTAAAACAGTGACCACTCTCTAGCCACCATCAGCAGTCAAGTGTCTGACAACAGGTTTGCTCACCTTATGACTTTCTCCTCTCAGAAAGCTGGCAATTAATATTTTGTTTATAACTGAGTGAACGAATAAGGCTGTTGCCAAGGCAAAGGTGTTCACCTGGTAACCCACGGGAGCCGGAGGAGATCTCTCTCCAGAATTAACACTGGGCTGCTCTATTCCTTACCATGGATCCCAAGACACCAGACTGCAATTCTGGAACAAGTCAGTCTTAACTCACTTCAGACTCCAATTCATTTACAAATGCAAAGTCCACAGGCACCAGCGAACAGGAGGTGAGGAAAACGTGTGGCCCTTGACTCACCTTGCTCAAGTTCTCCCAGATAAATAATCATGAAAGGCTATAGGCAAAAGCAAGGTTCTCTTTATGCACACCTGGTGGGCGGAATACAGAATTCCCTGCTCACACAATGACCACCCAAGGGGTGAGGCTGAATCACTCAAAAACCTCCTTGGCAATGCAAACAGGCGGTTGCTGATTTAGGATAATAGCAACCTCTGAAACTATCTCAGGCAGCCCAGATCACATAAACAAGTCCCTAAGATCTCCCACAGAAAAGCCTGTGTTGGGGTAGCCTGGCCCCAGACGACTGCCCCCAATGATTAACCCACACAACCATTGCAGCAAATCTAATGATAGCCTACATTTCTTCCACAGAACCCAAGGCAGCATATAGGGTCCTCAGCCCACAGAGACACTGACCAGACCCCCAACCTTCTCAGATTCACCTTCAGCCTTCACAGAGGGCAGCCATCTAAGTGAAGGAGCTCAGGAAAGGCCACCCAGTCCAAGTCCAAGTTAAAGACAAAGCACCCAAAGGAGGGGGGGGCGTCTGGAAGTTGCCCACCCAGAGTCAGCACCTGGACAGGAGACGGAGCAGCCACGCAGGTCGCCTGGTCAGTTTACCCCACTATGAGGAAAGGCTTTGCATTTTTTTACGTTCAATTATGGCAATTGTTTCTACATCTGCATCTTCACATGTAAATCAGCATGTGACATTTTATTCAGATTTATGTTGCCTTTTGCTCTCTTTTTTATTATGTATTTCCTGTATTTTGGGCAAGTGGCCACCTTACTCACCAAGGCTTCTGTGCCTTTAACAGATTCTGGCAATGTTTATTTTTTTTATTTTAAGAAATTGACACTTCCATAGCAATGCTTTGGAAGAGATTCCACTCTGATTTCAATCTGCCCAGCAAGGGGGCAAACAGCATGGGCAGAACACCTTCTGCTTCCTTTTGTGCTAAGGGGGGGGGGGAGGCAGGGATATTCCCTTGCCCAGCCCTGGAGAGGGGAGTAAGGAAGAAGTATATTAGACCCCTGCTGCTTACAGTCTCCATGTGCAGCACCATAGACTTACAGTCTGTTCCCAGGGAGTTGGTTCCTTGAAGAAATGGTAAACAGGATCTGTTCTCCTCATTATAAACTGAAGGGTCACACTTGGCTCAGTGCCCAGCCCAGAAAAAGGGGCAGCTTCCTTTTAGAGCTTCTGCCCCAAGCAGCACATTAAAAAAAAAAATATGCTCAGCATTCCAGGATGTCCTGCAAAACCCCAAAGACATTCAATGCAGGAACAGCCAGGCCAACCAATCTCTTCACTCCCACTTTTCCACAGGAAATTCCACTCAGAGCACCCAGCAAGTTGTTCAGCAAAACAGAGCCTATTTAGTTTGAGGCAATGGTAAAGGTAAAAGTAAGGGACCCCTGGACAGTTAAGTCCAGTCAAAGGCGACTATGGGGTGCAGCGCTCACCTCGCTTTTCAGGCTGAGGAAGCCAGCGTTTCTCCACAGACAGCTTTCTGGGTCCTGTGGCCAGCATGACTAACCCGCTTCTGGCGCAACAGAACACAGTGATGGAAGCCTGAGTGCACGGAAATGCTGTTTACCTTCCTGCCACAGCGGTACCTATTTATCTACTCGTGCTGGTGTGCTTTTGAGCTGCTAGGTTGGCAGGAACTGGGACAGAGCAAAGGGAGCTCACCCTGTCATGCGGATTCAAACCTTTTTTGTTTGAGTCAATACACTGTGCCTCCTTGTCCAAGTACCTGCTGAAGCTTCCAGCTACAATATAGTCACCTGGCGGCACTGTGTGGCCCACAGATGAAGTCTCTTCCACATCAGAGTTTTGTAACTGTCTTCATGTCACACACATTACACCTGCTCATCTTCCTCTCTTGGCAAGATTTAGCAGCCCATTCCAGTTAGCATCCCATCTCTATAATTCTGCCTCAAATTTTTTGAGTGCTCATACTTGTGCAGCCAAGGCGGCACCACTGTGCACTTGGGAGAACACTCAGTGCCCACAGAATTCTGACAACTATTGAAAGGGGGAAAACTGAAAACCAGGTGGGAGGGCAGAGGAAGAGACTGGCTGGAAAAGGAAGACTGAGGAAGAGACCAGCTCCGTGGAAACTGAGTTTGGTTGGGTCCTTTCCTGTCTCACACTCAGAAGCTAGTTTTAAATGTCCCTAGGGATGGAACTGGGGACTGGCAATGGAAATCAATCAAGAAAGACAAGATTTAAAAATAAGTGGGACAGGGCACCAAAAGGGATGGATAAATCTGTTATTTTTGGTTTCTCTCAATTTCTAATTTTTTAAACCTTGAATTCAGCTCTCCACATTTCTGCAGCAATCTGCATGTTTAAAAAAAATACCCCCATGAAAATTAATCAGCACATTAATGTGAATTTATCCTAATAAACATATTTTTGTATGCCGTTTTAATTAGTATACCCCATTTTCCAGAACAGTTTGCCCTAATGTAATGTGTGTACATTTTCGGACATGTTCCTTGGCCGGAGATGTATAAAACCCGGGAGGATGCTTATGTTTTGTGGATTGTTTAAGAAAATGAAACAATGCAAACTGAATCAAATTTCTCGCCAAGCACCCCACCCTCACCAAAACACTTCAGTGAGGACTGATCAGGCTCAGCAAGAACAAATGCTGGCTAACTGAGGGAGGGCAATGAAACAGAAAACTAGAGAAGGCGGAAAATGGAACGGAGCGACTGGAACCCTGACCAGGGTTTGCCACACGGCAGCCTTTTTATGCAGGGCCCCATTTTGCCTTCTTGATTGAAGGTGCCAAGTAAGGAACAGCAGACAATCTTACCTGGTTAGCAGAGGGCGGTGTGGGAGTTAAGTTTCATTGCTATACACACTTTACGTTTCTTTGCTGTGTGTGGCTCTCTCGCTGCCTGACTTTCCAGAGTACAAGACAGTAATAAGAAGCAGCAAGTCATTTTCCATGCAGAACTGCCTACCCCATCAGCAACATCCATCATGTGGCCCACAGGCCAGAAGGGGAACTCTGCTGCACTCTATGGGCAGCCAGTGGGAGGAACAGGAGACAGGGTACCTACCTTAGATACAGTGATGGGCTTCCTGAAGTCCCGTCCCCCTGTGATGCGGAAGCCCCATGGAGCGGGACCCATGAGATTCACATTCACCGCCATGGCAGTTCCACCAGCAGACCCTGTGGGCCTGAAAAGCAAAGGATAAGAATTCTGTGAAGAGAGGGTGATGGGAATGTTGGTGGATAATAGGAAGGAATGGCTGTGCATTCCAGGAGGGAGAAGATGAGGAAGTGCTCTTGGCCCCGGAAGCAGAGGACGCTGCCTTGTGCCGCCGAGTCGAGTGCAGTGTTGTCCCCAGCAAGTGGCAGCAGCTCTTTCAGGCAAGGGTTCCTTCCACCCCTCCCCCCGGTCCGGGAGATGCTGGAGACTGAACCTGGGATGCTCCACATGCTAAGCAGATGCTGTGCCTCTTCCTCCCCAATTGTCAGGACAACTCTATTCAATCATTTATTAGTTGGGTACGTAAAGCTTTTTTATTTTTTACACTGCTCTTTAGTTGAAGAGGCTCTCAGAGCAGCATATGAAGACCAGAAGTAAGACATTTTCTGTCCTCAGGCTTACAGTCTAAAAGACATCACACCTAAGAAAAAAGATGCAGAGGGAGGACAAAGAAAGAAACCACAGGCACCAGTTACAACGACCAGTAAGTGACCAGCTGGGGTGGAAGGAAGTCAGGAGGTCTGGGGGGATGGCTGCTGCAAGTTGACAGCTGAGAGAGGGTCAAAGGCAGCTATTCTTTCTGCAGAGGCAACGAAATAGCCCTGAGTGCCTTCTTCCTCCCTGCTCTGCAGCTCTTGCTAGGCAGCTACTGGAGTGAACCATAAGACATCTGGTTCATGTGTGCAACGTGGCTTTTCTTTTTAAGGCTGGGGAACCACCAATATCAGGCACAGCAGCTTCCTGGAAACCTGAAGGTTCTTCTGCTAATGGCAGGTGATGCAGCAGTGACTGGATCCAGCAAGCTCCCAGCTCATGCAAGCAAAACCACCATGAGTGAAACTAGCCAGTGGAGAGTGTCAAAAGCGGCCTTAAATTTGCAAGCAGGGTGACCATGCTAACAACTAACAGAAAGAGCCTTCTCAAAAGAAATATAACAAATATTAGAGAGAGAGGGAAATCTAAGTAAGTTCCCTTTTGAGAAATTTCAGCTTGGCTACTATCAAATTAAACTGCACAGGCACCCCCCCCCCCCCATATGCGAGATTGCCTTGTGTGTGACCACTTGCATGCACAGCACTGGGAAAGAAAGAAAGAAAGAAAGAAAATCATATGAGGAAATGGCAGGAGAGAGCTAGAGAGTCCTTGTGGTTTGTGAGGAAACCCTCCCCAGGGCCCAAGGAGGACATCAGTGAGGACGGAGGAAGCCCCAAAGAGACACGAGGTCCAGTGGGGCTTTGTTAAGGCTGCTCAGCCTCCCTGCCTAGCAGCGATGAATGTGGTAGTGCAGCAGCAGCAGCAGCAGCAGCAGCCACCTTTCCGCACATCCTCCAGCCTCCAGGTGGACCCAGAGCTTCAACTCTAGTTAAAGAAAAAGTTGTGTGGAGAGTGGGAGCAGGAAAAAATGGGCATTTAGAAGCTTTTTAGAGGGTGCTCCCCCACTTACACAACTTTCATTTATGCATGTGGGGGGCCAAGTAAGTGGGAGGACGCCTGTATATTGTTGGTGGTCATACAGGTAGATGAAGGAAGCAATGGGCCTTCTCACTGGAGGAGGAGAAGGCTGGAAGGAGTAGGGGACAAGCCCACTGCTCCCGCCAATTACATTTCAATAATAAAATTCCATCAACAGTTGTTCCCTAAGTTCTCCACTCTGTTCTTGGGGGCTGAAATTACACACAGGAAGGGGATTTCACCGAATATTTTCCAGGGCACTGGTGAAATTCTCCAACAGTTCAGCTGGAATCCTCCCCCCAAAATACCTGATACCTCTACCTCAGATATTATTTCTGATAATTTTTTTAAATAAAATGGCTTCTCTAGCACCTTGCAATTTCCCTCACAGAGAAGCACAGTCCATAATGTCAACTCAAGGACCCTAGAAGTGGGCTTCCCAATTTTTTGTCAGGGCTAGAACCCCCAAACCACACAATTCTCCAAGCAATTGCAGCCCTGGCTCTGCTCAGGAGACCTCAAATCCTGTACCTACCTCTACAACCCCCAAAGTGAGGTGCAGCAATTGTCTCCAAAGATTCAGCACACCCCAAAGCCCTGTTCCTCTCCTGCACAGTCGCTCTCCAGAAGGGGAACTTGAAGACTGAAAAACAGTTGGTTCCTTCCTAGACCACATGATGCGACCGACATTTGCCTTCCTGTCACAGACCTCACTTCCGCCCCCCGCCCCTCCCCGTCCCCCCAGCCTGCAGGTTCCTCCTTGCCAACCGCAAGTGCCTGACAAGAAAAGGAGCTCTAAGCAGAGAAGGGCGCAGAGCAAGTTGCAGATCTAACCATGTCAGACACCTGGAGGAGCAGTAACAACAGCTGCAGTGATGCTCTCCAGGTGATAATAAAAGTTATAAATCCAACTTTTCTTTTGCTCTGTCCCTCACAGTCAGGTTGATGGTTATTGCCTGTGCATGCTTGGGCATGTTTTCTCCTAACCTGGAATCCCAACTGCAACAAAGTGAGCAATGGTGACCCTAGATTTTTATGACAAAGAATGTGACAGCAAAGCTGACTAGAAAGGGCTAACCTGGAATGGCTATTAATTAAAATAATTACGATCATAACTGCTAAATATGTAATAACAGTAGCATATTCCCAGCAGCACACATCTAGGCTGAGTAAGTGGAGCCCAATAAAATATGTTGTTGCATGCCTTCATTTTCACTGCTAGATTTCTCTAGAGCAGTCTTCCCCAACCTGGTGCCCTCCAGATGTTTTGGGCTACACTTACTTTGAACTCCTGCCAGCGCAGCTGTATGATGCTTGGCCTGCTGGGAAGACGGCCATGCCAGATGGAGCAAGCAAGAGCCTGTTCTCACATGCAAGTGACCACTTGCGATCAAGTGATGAGCATGCATGTTATGCTCTGTAGACTAATGAATTAAATGCTCTTCTGATATTTAGGTTATCCAGATAGGTTCATACATGTGAACCAGTCCCAAGAGGCCCTCTAGCCCTGCTTCTGCTCCCCACATAGCCCAAGGTCCACACCAGACGTCATGCAGAGCTCCAAGTTTGGCAATGTACCCTCTGGTGGGTTTACCTTGCAAGAGCATCAACACTGCAATTCCACTCCCATGTCTGTTTTTGACAGAATTCTCTGACATTCCCACAATTCCCAAATGCTAATCTCCTCTTCCTGAAGCCACAGAGAGGAAAACATCCTACTGCAACATGGTTTTCCTTCCTTAACAAGGAAGTGGAAGCAGGAGCCCCGAAACTTCCATGCAACTTCCAATTTGGCCACAAGTCTTCCATGCACAGAAGCGGCGAATCGCAACTCACGCATGCGCAGATGCGCCGCTGTGGGTTGCGTTCTTTTCATGTTGCAAACTGGCCTCCGGAACGGATCCTGTTCGCAACCAGAGGTACCACTGTACATATTTCTCTCTCTCTCCTCTTTCCACTGACCTCTTTGTCTTTCTTCAAAGACAGCCAGCCAGATTGTGACCTGCTGCTTGAAGGTTTATGGACTTCCAGGGATGGAGAAGTCCATGATCACTGCAGATGGTGACAGCAGTCACGAAATTGAAGACGCCTGCTTCTTGGGAGAAAAGCAATGACAAACCTAGACAGCATCTCAAAAGGCAGAGACGTTACCTCGTCGACAAAGGTCCGTATAGTTAAAGCTGTGGTTTTCCCTGTAGTGATGTATGGAAGTGAGAGCTGGACCATAAAGAAGGCTGATCGCCAAAGAATTGATGCTTTTGAATTATGGTGCTGGAGGAGGCTCTTGAGAGTCCCATGGACTGCAAGAAGATCAAACCACTCCATTCTTAAGGAAATCAGCCCTGAGTGCTCACTGGAAGGACAGATCCTGAAGCTGAGGCTCCAATACTTTGGCCACCTCATGAGAAGAGAAGACTCCCTGGAAAAGACCCTGATATTGGGAAAGATGGAGGGCACAAGGAAAAGGGGACGACAGAGGACGAGATGGTTGGACGGTGTTCTCGAAGCTACCACCATGAGTCAGACCAAACTGCGGGAGGCAGGGGAAGATAGGAGTGCCTGGCGTGCTCTCGTCCATAAGGTCACAAAGAGTTGGACATGACTAAACGACTAAACAACAAGGGATGGAGAAGCAGCAATGGCAGTGTGTGTGTGTGTGTGTGTGTGTGTGTGTGTGTGTGTGTGTTTATCAGCTAGAATGAGGCAGAAAATGGGCATAACTGCCACCACTAGGTAAAGGTAAAGGGACCCCTGACCATTAGGTCCAGTTGTGGCCGACTCTCGGGTTGCGGCGCTCATCTCGCTTTATTGGCCGAGGGAGCTGGCGTACAGCTTCCAGGTCATGTGGCCAGCATGACTAAGCCACTTCTGGCGAACCAGAGCAGCGCATGAAAACGCCGTTTACCTTCCCGCCGGAGCGGGACCTATTTATCTACTTGCACTTTGATGTGCTTTTGAACTGCTAGGTGGGCAGGAGCAGGGACTGAGCAATGGGAGCTCACCCTGTTGCGGGGATTCGAACCGCCGACCTTCCGATCAACAAGTCCTAGACTCTGTGGTTTAACTCACAGCGCCACCCGCGTCCCTTAACTGCCACCACTATGGAGCAACAATTTAGAGAGATAGCAATAAAGCAGGAGGTCACTTTGCCTTGAGGAGCAAGAAGAGGGCTCATTACAGGGTCCACCAACTGGAGGAACATGTAGCTACGCTCCAAAGAATTAGAGAGCTGGAGCTCTTCTTGGAAGCAACAGAGAACACTGTCTCCACCAAGGAGGAGACAGGGGACACCCCTGAGAAGGAGGCTAGTTCACCAACACAGGTGCCAGATATATGGAGAAACGTGACTCAAAGAAGTAGGAGGCCCAGGGTTCGCTCTGATTGTTTAGAAATACACAATCGCTTTGAAGTCCTCTGTGCTGGTCCCAGGGGGAATAAGGTACTATTACCGTAGGCCAAGATCAGTCCAGAGTCTCTAGCAGGGTAGATGATCACTAGATGAGACGCGAGGTCCGAGACAGGGAGCCAGGCGGGGTAACAGGAACGATGGTAGGGCAGAAGCAGGAAGCCAGGCAAGGAACAGGAACACTGGTAGGGCAGAAGCAGGAGTCCAGGCGAGGAACAGGAACACTGGTAGGGCAGAAGCAGGAATCCAGGCGAGGAACAGGAACACCGGAGAGTCAGAAACAGGAAGCCGGGCGAGGAACAGGCACACTGGGAGTGCCGAACAAGGACTGGGTAAAACAGGTACTCCACAACGACGTTGCTCCCGCAACCTGGGACCGGGCTGCCTGACCTTTATCTTCTTCTAAGGCCGGGGGCGGTCCCGGCCCCCAGAAGCCCCGCCTCTCTTGGCCTTAAGGCGAGCACTCCTCCTGGGAGACACCAGTTCCCTTCGCCTCTCTGCCCTAAGCCTCTGCAGATCAGGAGAGGCCGAAGGGTTACTGGGCCCCGGGGGAGGCTCACCTGTAGCCACTGAGTCTTCCAGCACCTCTGGGGCCTGAATGATTTCACCTGGTGCCTGCTCTTGAGTTTCCTCAGCATCTAGGGCCTTGCCCCAGTTCAGCCGGCCCTGGAGGCGGGGACTCCTGTGCCGGCTGGGATTCCTCCGGATCGCTCTCAGACTCGGAATCCCAGGCCATCACACCAATCCCCCCTCCCAGGCCCCCCCCTCACTTGAGGGTCCGGACCCGGCTTGCTGGGGTAAGCCGCATGAAACCCTCGGATGCAGGCAGGCGCGTGGACGTTGACCGCTGGTTCCCAGGAACGGTCCTCTGGCCCATACCCCTTCCAGTCAATGAGATACTGCAGCCTTCCCCTGCGGTATCGGGAGTCCAGAATGCGTTCCACCTCGTACTCAGGCTCTCCCTGCACCAAAACTGGCTGCGGTCGGGGACGGTCCGGGTGGAACTCGTCGGGTGGGGCCACCGGACTCAGAAGGGACCTGTGGAATACCGGGTGAACCTTCAGGTTTGCTGGCAACCGGAGACGGAATGCCACAGGCGAGACCTGGTTCACGATCGGGAACGGGCCGGTGAACCGGGCGTCCAGCTTCTGCGAAGGTCGAGAAGGGTGGAGGTGGCAAGTGGAAAGCCATACCAGGTCACCGACGTGAAGTTCCGGCCCCACCTGGCGGTGGCAGTCGGCCTGGACCTTGTACGCCTTCTTGGCCTGGCGCAGCTGCTCCATCAACAGCTGTTGCTGGGACTGGAGCTCCTGAAGCCACTCCGTCACCGCAGGGACCGCAGATGCCGGCAGCACATCCGGAAACAACCGTGGATGAAAGCCATAACTGGCCTGGAACGGGGTCTGCTGGGTGGACGCATTCACCGCGTTGTTATAAGCGAACTCCGCCAATGCTAGGTGGTCGACCCAGTCGTCCTGCTGGTAGCTGCAGTAACACCGGAGGTACTGTTCCAGCACCGCGTTCGCCCGTTCCGTCTGGCCATCGGTCTGTGGGTGGTAAGCAGATGAGAGACAGACCTCTGTTCCGAGGGCCTGGTGCAAAGCACGCCAAAACCGGGACGTGAACTGAACGCCGCGGTCGGACACTACACGCTCAGGTAGGCCATGCAGGCGGAAGACATGCTGAAGGTACAGCTGCGCGGTTTCCTTAGCTGAGGGTACGGATGGGCAGGGGGCACAGTGCACCATCTTCGTGAAGTGGTCGGAGAAAACTAGAAGGCAGGTGCAGCCACGAGACGGGGGTAACTCCACTACAAAGTCCAGAGAAACTGTGTGCCAAGGACGTGGTGGAACCGGCAACGGCTGAAGAAGGCCGGGGGGTCGCCCGGTAGGCCCCTTGGCCCGCCTGCAGACGTCACAACCAGCGACGTAGCGAGCCACGTCAGCCTTCAAACGGGGCCACCAAAACTCACGGCTTACCAGATGGGTGGTCCGATACCGCCCAAAGTGCCCCGCCGCTGGAGCATCATGGGTCATCCGGAGAACCTCAGCCCGCAGCGGCCCTGGTGGGATGTACAGGCGCCCGTGGTGCAGCAGAAGACCCTGATGCGAGACCAGCCCTGGATACTGAGGGCATGATCCTTCGGCCAGTTCCCGGAGTCGTTCCTGTGCCCAAGCGTCGACCCGCTGCTGTTCCCGCACCCGAGCCTGCAGTGGCTCAACCTCCTGGGTG